ATGGTGTTTTTGGGTGACAACACTATGATTGATGGGTCATTAAACACTGTGAACCAGAGTGATCTATGGTGATTTTGGTGACAATACTATGATTGATGGGTCATTAAACACTGTGAACCAGAGTGATCAATGGTGTTTTTGGATGACAACACCATGATTGATGGGTCATTAAACACTGTGAACCAGAGTGATCTATGGTGATTTTGGTTGACAACACTATGATTGATGTGTCATTAAACACTGTGAACCAGAGTGATCTATGGTGCTTTTGGGTGACAACACTATGAATTATGGGTCATTAAACACTGTGAACCAGAGTGATTAATGGTGTTTTTGGGTGACAACTATATGATTGATGGGTCATTAAACACCGCGTAATAGAGTGATTGGCTGCTGGTGTTTTTGGGTGACAACACTATGGTTAATTGGTCATTAGACACTGGGTACCAGAGTGATTACTGGTGCGTTTGATGTGATAAGTCTATATGGTTGATGGGTCATCAAACGCTGGGTACCAAAGTGATCTTTGGTTCTTTGGGGGTGACCAGACTATGTTTGATGGGTCATTAAACACTGTGTATCAAAGTAATAGTTGGTATTTTTGGACAACACTATGATAAATAGGTCATTGAACACTGTGTACCAAAGTGATAACTGGTATTTTTGGGTGACAGCACTACTGTTGGTGGGTCATTAAACACTGTGTACCAGAGTCATTCCTGGTGTTTTAGGTGACAACAATATGATAGATTGGTCATTAAAAATGTGTGTACCATAGTGATTGCTAAGTGTTTTCGATAAAAACTAGGTTTGCTGGTGTTTTAGGGTGACCAATACTATGATTGCTTGTGTTTTAGGGTGACAAAATATGATTGATTGTCCATTTATCGGATAATTACAATTTAATAAAAAGCCTTTCCTATTGCATGAATTACCATAAAAAAAGAGTTTTTTTAACTTAACCTCCATGTGCAGTCTGTAAATGCTTAACTATTTGGCACTGGACATCCAGCAACCAACAATCAATCATTCTCCTTGTGTATACTGTATATGATAATCACCACTTTAAACAATGCAAAATAGCTTTCAAATTTGTGGGTTTGTCACATTAAAGGTTCATTCAGAAAATCTCCTCTGACACACCAAATTTAGGGAGCTACCATTTGATTTTTATGGGGGGGGGGGGGGGGGGGGGGAGGGTGCTAGGATGAAATTTGAAAAAATAGGCAGGCCAGGAGTTTTGAGAAAAAAAAAGGCAGGATGAGACACTTGTAAAAAAAAAGAGTCAGGATGACAATTTAGGTAAAAAAAAGTCAGGATAAACTTTTAAAAAAAAGCCAGGACCGAATAGAGTGAACAATAAAAAGGCAGGACAGAGATTACAACTAAAAAAAAGGCAGGACAGAGATTACAACTAAAAAAAAATGCAGGACAAAATTTTTCATCCTAGCCCCCCATAAAAATCAAATGGTAGCTCCCTTATCACGTCTTATTCTCATTAGATGTCAATTGTGGTTATTTTTGTTGTTAGTGGTTGTTATGTCATATCATATCATGTTATGTTTATCCAAAATCTCGTTTATTTATAAGTATGACAACTCTCAAGGTCACTTAGTATTAAAGAACTTTAAATAAACAAAATGTGTCTATAGGACACCATTCCCCACTTGCTCTTATCAAATTTCGATGTTTAATGGACAGTCTAGCGGAGCACTGAAAACACATTTTTAAATAAATGGTTTCAGTTAAAGCCTTGTTTGGAAAATAACTATTTTTGGTTATATTTGAAAAATATTTCTGAAATGATCAATTTTTTATCAATTTTCTCAGTCTTTCCTTAATAAACCAATAATTTTCCAATGTGGAATACAACTTAACCTCTTTAAATTACCAATATTTAGTTGTACACATTGTAGGTTAAGAATAAACCACGACTATAAATAGCACCCTTGCACTATTTTAAAAATTCAAGTTATCTTTCAGACACATTATCTAGAACAATTAAAGAACCTTAGTGAGCATGCTCACATACCCCAACGCCCCCACCTTGTCACAGGGCAGACAAAATTTCAACAGATTCCTACTTTCAAAGACTCATAATTCCTACAAAAGTCATCTGACAAAAACTTTCTTGTGGATATGCACATAAACATTTTATCATCAACTACAAAGTATCATGAAATTCTGTTGTGTGGACAAGTTGTGATGACAAACTGTTGCAGTAGTATATGTAGGCCAAAATTCTAAATTCAAAGGGGCATAATTCCTTAAAATAAAATTGAATCATAATTTCCTGGTGATATGCAATTCTACATATTATGTCCTTTTTATCTACAAATTTCATGAAATTCTCTGTTGTGTGGTTTCAGAGGAGTTGCAATGACAAGAACAATACTGACGGATGGACAGACGGACAGACAGAGGGCCAAACAATATAATTAATTGCATCATTATCTTGAAGAAGTTGAAACCATCAATCAAATTGTATACAGATATTTATAGATCAGATACTCATTTAAATAAACTGTTGACACAGAGATATGTCTCGACTGTCGGCATAAAATTAAAAAAAAAACCAATCAGATAGACAGCAACACTGCTAATTAATTCAGTTTTTGGACAGGGCCTCAAAATAGTTGTTAAACTGATATGTACTGATAGAAATGCAACTTCATACAAAATATCATTGATCTATCACAAGTAGTTCCTATCAAATTAACTTAAGCAGAAAACTTAACATTGAAAATTGCTAATGAATTCAAAGTCACTGGACCATGACTTAGGGGCAGGGCCTCAAAACAATTGATTGATTGATTGTTGGTTGCTTAACGTCCAGTGGCAGGCCTCAAAATAGTTAATTGTTAAACTGATATGTATTGATAGAAATGCAACTTCATACAAAGTATCATTGATCTATCACAAGTAGTTCCTATCAAACTAACTTAAGCAGAAAACTTAACATTGAAAATTGCTAATTAATTCAAAGTCACTGGACCATGACCTAGGGGTGGGGCCTCGAAAATAACTAACTTAACTTAAGCAGAAAACTTAACATTTGTTAACACTGTCATCATCATTGTCACCAGAAAAGCAATCCCTATGTCTCGCTTTCCACAACTTTCTTCGCAGGTGAGACAAAAAATTAACATTAAGTGCTTTTCTGATGAAAACTGATGATGAATTTGGAAGATAACTAGCTATTCAAAAGATTTATATTCCGTGAAAGACCTAATTAATAACTAATATTGGTTACAATATGATACGCAATTAATTGAAAAAAACAAATAAGCATTCGATTTTTTGTTAAATAACAGTTTTCAATGATGCCCTGGGCTGTCGAAGATGTAAATCTAGGTCATACCTATTAGCATTTTGGAAAAAATACCCTCCCCCTTACCTATATTTTAAAAAGTTCATATCATAGTGAATATCTGTACTAAATTTTTAAGTTGATGTGATGACAACTTCCAGTGGTGGATCCAGGGGGGGTCAAGGGGTAAGACGATCAATGCTTTTGAATGGGGACATATGGTTGGAACCCTCCTTTTAAAAATGACTGGATCCGCCCCTGACTTCATGGTAAACTAGCTTGAACAAACACTTTAACCTGATACCAAATGGGCGATATAACTGAGGGACAGACAAACAAACAGACTGGAAAACAGAATGCATGCCCCTCTACTGTCGTAGGCGAGGCTTAAAAATCAAAAATTGCTTGAAATATGGGTCATGGTCATAGATGTATTTTACGGTAATATTGTACTAAAAGCGCAGAAAACACTATGTGATCCGTATAAACTCACTAACCTTTAAACAAACTTATTAGTAAAGGTTATCTTATTAATGTTGTAATAAGATCTTTGAATATTGTTTACATTGGCACAAATATCGATTTTGTCATCAACAAATTAAAACATTTAATTTGTATTCTTTTCGAATGTTTTTTTGGGATGTATAAATACACATCCACATTCATTTTCTATATAGAGATTGCTTTATCTATATATAACATTATACATATTTATTATAAGGTAAAATACTATCCTACTGCCTGTTGATACTTTTATTTTGGCATTGCACAAGTCATGTCTTCTTTGACTGTCCATGGTGTTAAAACACTAAATCCCTGGGATGTGTTTTAGTTGATTTTAGTCTCTGATGCATGATTTTTTATTATTAATTGTTTTTGGATTTTAACTAGCTTTCAGTAACTACGAGTACTCTCAAATCGTACTATTGTATTCATTTGACCTGTTGACACAATTTGTAATGCGTTTTTGTTATTCAATGTTTAATTATTTTGTGTTATATCTCTTCTTACTACTTTTAATATGTACCACCTTTGATAAGTATTTAGTATGACGATAAATTTTCACTTCTGTTCTCGTACTATGAACAACAAATTTATTTATTTTTAAAAAATATTTCTGTACTCCTAACAACAAAATTATCATATTTAAATTTACCCGTGTACGTTATTTTATTTAACGCCATTTTGTCCAAGGTTATAGTTTTCTCTTTGACATTGTTTTACATCTCCCCCTTTTTTATTTAATACTGTATTTATGTTGTGTCATAGATCAAATTTATTCATTCAGTGTATGTTTACTGGTTTTTTGTTAATATGTCTTTTTGATTGAGTTAGGCCATTTCAATATTTTATAATTTATGTTGTAATGTTACACTACTATTTCAGGTTAGGGTAAAGGTTGGCGCCTGTTAAAACGTTTAAACCCGCTGTATTATTATGCACCTGTCCTAAGTCAGGAACCTGTTGTTCAGTGGTTGTTGTTTGTTGATGTGGTTCATAAGTGTTTCTCGTTTTTTATATAGATTAGACAGTTGGTTTTCCTGTTTGAATTGTTTTACACTAGTCATTTTGGGGCCCTTTATAGCTTGCTAGAAGTTACACTTGTGTAGGTCACATAGTGTCTGAAAAACTTACCCTGGCAAAAATTGTGCAATAGAGAAGAACAAGCTTATATAAAATAGTCCACAAATTATGTATTTACTTTCAAATTTAATGTAAAAACAATACATAATTTTACTCCATTGTAATAAATACATGTGTTGTTTATTTTTATTTTATAAAGTTAATTTACTTTTTAATTCCCTAGTCCTTCATTATAGAGTTTTTCATCAAGTAACTGTCCTCAATAAAAAAAAAAACAACAAACATAGCAAAAAATATTTATCAAATCTCTGTTGAAAGGTTTTCTTAAGTTCCAATAACAAAAACATACATGTAAACATAAGAAGAGTTTGGCATTTCCAACTGTCCAAATGGTAGTGGCACAGAGGTGACACCATTTCTGAATGTCCCTTTGTGTCCAAGATGGGAGTAGCACATTGTAGACAAAACCCCTAGAAAGTGAATTATGGCCAGCCTTTGGAGTTGACATGCCTTTTCTTTTCTTTCATGATACAACACCTTTGAAATTTAGTATTCAATATTTTTTTCCGACGTCTTAAGTTAACTTTGAAAATGCTGGAATGGACTGTTACCAACTGACAGGAGGAAATGCCAAGATTCACATGAGCTATAGTGTACAAATCAGTCACAAATTAATGATGTGAACAATACAAATGAAACTTCCATATATCACAAGCATTACAGAGTTGTCTCCCATCATCTTTAAACTTTCACACAAGAGTTATGTCCCTTCCTTTGTTTTATTTTCCCTTCCTGCCTTTCTTTTTCTGTCCTTTTGTTGCCTGTTGTGTTTGAGCAGGTTGCTGTGATGACTGGTTCCCTGCAATTCTGGTTTTTAGCTTGGGTATTGTTTCAGCAATGTATGTTAGGACAGAATCACCTGGAAAGACAATTAACAATTTTATGTTTCAACATTATACAATTATATTCATAATTATATAAAAATATCTTTTCCACAAAATTTTCTTTCATATATCATAATTCTAGTCTGTCAGTGTAAATAATAAATGACAGATTTAGGTAATTTTTCCCTATTCTTTTTTTTCCATTATTCTCTCTTCTTTATTACTTCTACCATTATTTTCTATTCTTTATTTTTTATTACTATTATTCTCTATTCTATAAACCCCATCCAGATCCTCATACTATTGTAAATTAATCATCTGATTGAAGTTCAACATGGCTAAACTGTAATATTTGTACAAATCCATTCTCATGATTTCTTCTGACCTAAGCCTTGTCAGTGGTTTTCATTTGTTATATCTGAATTCTATTTGTGTCATTTTTTGGGGATATGGTGTAGATGGGAAATTTTGTATAGCCTCTGTGAAATTCATTTACAACTTTGTGAGAAATCAAGCATATTTCATTTATGTATTTCACAAAAATGTGCATAAATCTCAATAAATACAATAATATACAATCTTCATAAATTTTTCAATAAAACACCTTTCACAAATATATTCAGGAATCTTACATATTTAGACTTAATATTAAAACAATTTGATATCCATTTTCATAAAGGAAATATTTAAGGGAGCTACCATTTGATTTTTATAGTGGGGCTAGGATGAAAAATTTTGTCCTGCCTTTTTATTTTTCCCTCTATTCGGTCCTGCCTTTTTATTTTTTACTCTATTCGGTCCTACCTTTTTTTTCAGTTTATCCTGACTTTTTTATTTAACTAAATTGTCATCCTGCCTTTTTTTTTTTACTCAAAACCCTGTCCTGCCTATTTTTTTCAAATTTCATCCTAGCCCCCCCCCCCCCCCATAAAAATCAAATGGTAGCTCCCTAAGCAACCTTCACAAAAAGAGATAACTTAAAATTCATCAACAACATCTATGCTTTAGGCTACTTGTAACTTACGATCAGGAAATTTTTCCATGAATGGCTGTCCATCTTCTGTTTTTAACTGTACTCTAACTCTTCCTCGACACTTAGGATCTCTATGGTCAAGTTCTCTTGGATAGACTTTGTTCTAAAAACAAAAACAACAATGATACAAGAGTGCACACACTGAGCTGTTGCACCTGCTTTACTTATCATGATTGAAATTATGTTGAAAGTCTGAAATTATATGAGGGTTTACTACAAGTATCACATAAACTTAACATTATCAATAATCCATGTAAATGTGTTCAGGGTCAAATGAACCTGCCAGACAGACATGTACACCTTACAATCATACTGTACACCAAATATAGTAAGACTATTCAGCATTGCATCAAGCATCTGAGAAACAGAGCTAATTAGGAAAACTGATGTTGACAAATGGAACATAAAAATGTGGTCAAGGTGATACATGTATGAACCCTGCAAGACAACATGTACACCATGCAATCATTTCATACACCAAATACATTGACCTTTTGCTTATAGTATCTGGGAAACAGATATAATCACGAAAGGTAAACACTGACTAATGAACCATGCAAATGAGGTAAAGGTCATATGACACATGCCAGACAGACATGTACACCTTACAATCATTGCATTCATCAAATATAGTGGCTCTATTGATTATGGTATTTGCGAAATAGACCAAACCAACAAAACTAAACATTTGTGCTATGAGTTACCCCAAAAAAAGGCCAAGGTCAAATGAAGCCCTGCAAGACATGTACATGTACACCTTCCAATAATTCCATACATCAAATATAGTTGATTTATTGCTTATATATATAAAAAAGAAGATGTGGCATGATTGCCAATAAGACAACTCCCCATAAGAGACCAAATGACACAGAAATTAACAACTATAGGTCACTGTACAGCCTTCAACATAAGTAAAGCCCATACCACATAGTCAGCTATAAAAGGCCCTGAAATGACAAATGTAAAACAATTCAAACGAGAAAACTAACGGCCTAATTTATGTACAAAATAATGAACAAAAAACAAATATGTAACACAGCAACAATCGACAACCACTGAATCACAGGCTCCTGACTTGGGACAGACACATACAGAATGTGGCGGGGTTAGATATACATGTAGTATCTGAGATACAGACGACTCTAAAAACTTAACCTTACTCACTGATCTATGAAATGAGCTTGAGGTCAGGTGAACCCTGTATGATAGACAGGTAGACCTACACAAAATTTAGTTATCATAATGAGTGAATATTTGACATGAAAAACTTTACATTTTACCAAAAGAAACTTTTGAATGCAAAGATATGAAAAAGGATATGTAAGACATATGATTTTTATTTGATCTCTTGATAAATCCATGTAAATTTATAGTTTCAGAAAAGTTATCACTCAAAGGGATTAAAATTCTACATTATTTGACCAAATTTTGTGGATATGTGTGAAATCTTATCCCATTTTGCAAAATTTTATAGCAAAATAAATGTAGATTGTTGCCATGGATAAACTAAAAAAAATACATTTCAATATTTAAACTACTGCAAATCAAATCTATGAAAGATACTGATTATTTACATTTCCACATATATGACACAAACAGTAAGCTTAATTTGTGAGAAAGCAATGAAACAAGAATGGTAAACTTTATGAGGGTCAATTTCAATCATTTTTTTTCTAACTTCATGCCTAAAGCACATGTGTCTAGAAGAAACTTTGTCAGGTATGCCTTAACTTAAAAATCATACTTACTTCTATACCTATATGTAATCCTGATTGTATCAACACATCTTTAATTTCTTGAACTGTTGGATTATCTACACACTGTTAAATGTAAAATAAATAAATGCATTCGTTATGTAAAAAATGCATGTTGGATAAAGTTGAAGATGAAGAACATTTTATATGTAATTGTCCCCTTTATAATCTTTTGACGAAATAGTTTTTGATATTTTTTTTATACTCAGAAAACTATCAATAAAGTTCAGATCTATATGTTTATATGTAACCCATTAAGAATGTTTGCCTGTTAACAATGGTTAATATTTTATATAATCTGTTTTATTACTGCTTTTTTACACATATCTTTATGGCCCTGGTCAGGATTACTTGTGTATATTTTTGGAAAATTGTAATAGGGAAATATTTAAGTACGGTAAATCAAATCTGGCAAAATTACATTTATGTGAATGCTAAATGGCACGCAATTGCTGTCTCCTTCATTTCTCCCTGAGGTGCCCCTAAGTCTCCCTACCATGTCATGACTTCTCCCTGTCAGGCTGCACTGGAGAGGTTACTTCTCACTATCATTTTGAAGTGTGGTGAACCTTTGTACTTATATGAAATGATCTATAGGAAGTAAATATTTGGATTTTGGTGAGAAAGAGAGGGGATAACATATTTTTAGAAGGTGGGATATAAGGGTAAAAAAGCAGGGATGTGGGATATATATATGGGGTTAAAAAAGTAGGGAAGTGTGATATATGTGGTAAAAAAGTTTGAAGTGGGAATTTTTTTTTAAACAAAAGCGGTATTTGGAAAATGAGCACCTTGTGTCGTCTCCCCCTCTTACATAATGTTTTGGGAGGTTAATATCCAGCATGACAAAGGTTAATATTTAGGCTGCCCTAAGTACTTACTACTTGTTTTTGAAGGCGTCTTCCTTCTTTGAGTGATTTTTTACTATTGATGTAAGCAGGATAAACACAGATCCATCTGAAAACACAAGTTTTAATATTCAAATAAGGAATACGGTATATTGGTCTGCAAATAAATTTTCATTTTTTAATACTGTTGCCAAAACAAGTCATACACATATATGCATGTATATTAAAGTTCAACATGTTCCATGCATGCATTCCCTGTTATTCAGTGGTAGTAGCTTGTTGCTGTATTTTATATTTATTTTTTGTTTATTGTGTTATACTTAAATCAGGCAGTGAGTTTTCTCCTTTGAATTGATTAACAATTGTCATTTCTGGGCCTTTTATAGCTTGCTCTAGATGTATGTGGTATGTCTGGGTTTTGGTCATTGGTGAAGGCCGTACGGGACCTATAATAAGTTGCTAACCTTCTTCATCATTTGGTCTCTGGTGGAGAGTTGTCTCACTGGCAATCATACCACTTCTTCTTATTTGTATATTCCAGTTAATCAAATTTTGTTAAGGTTTTCACAAAACTTTCTTCAACGTTTAGCAAAGCTATGAATATATAAACTGAAGTCCAAAGTTCATATTGATAATTTGCCACTACTTTTTTAATGTACATGTCTATACATTATAGTTTTTGTATAGGTTAGTGCATGTTTACAATTTCAGTAGATTCAAGACCAATTATGAGTCTGAAATTTTTCACTTTATAACCTATGGGCATTTTCTATATTCCTATAACAAGAAATTAATCCTATTTTATCAGGGGTGTGACTTTTATTGCGGAAGAGATTCATAGTAGTCCTACATTCCCACTCCAGCATCGGTGGCATCAACATTTAGGTTCTACTGTGGTTAAAGTTTCTTAGACATCAATAACTTTGTCAAACCTTCTTGGAATTTTATGAAACTTGGACAGAAGCTTTAGTTTTTTATGATCAAAAGACAGTATCCAGTGTAAATTTAAAAATATTTTAATTTCTTTTCCGTATTTTGCAGATAAAAGGACATAGTTTATTTGCAGTAAACAATTAGGTACTGTCTGGGCCTGGGGGAAAAGTTTTTAAGACATCAAATAACATTGTCATAAGTATCTAAATTTTCTATACATTAGTGTTAACAAATATCATTTGCACACTGTACAATATAAATCATCCCTGCTATACACCATTTAGCACATGTTTAACAAAACGTTTATGTCCTGTAATTGGATTAACCTGGGACATAATAAATTATATACAATTCCCAGGATTAACTCATTAACTGTGACATGAGTAAGGGTTTATCAATAATAGAAATGGCCTGTGTATATATTTTGTCAAACGTAAGGATTTGTCAAAAACAATGAAAACTTTAAAAAAAAAAAAAAAATACAAATTGCACATCTTGAAAACTTATATTTACCATAATTCACGAATGTAATTATTACAATTTTTTCAAATCGCTACCAAAATTTGTCGTACATGTATCTATTAAATCTATAATCTAATGTGCATTTTTAGTTCTGTAAAAGGTTCAGTAATAAATAGCAATGAAAAGTACAATAATCATGATAATATTCAGATATTCATGATATTGGAGAATTTCCTATCATTGATAAATTTTACTCAGAAAGTATTGAATTTCTGACATATAATAAACTTAGAGGAATCAACCAGGATAACTTTTAACATGTTTTGGTTGGGACAAATTGGCTGGTGCATGTACAAATCAGAGTTAGATTCATAGAATCCCATGTACAAAAAAAATTAGAGTTTCACTGTTTAACTTTAAGACCTCTTTGTGTAATAATTCACACCTGAATAATCCAGTTTGATCATTGAATAATTTTATCCAGTTAAATTTTGTGATTTTATACACAGACATTAGGTGGAAAGAATAAATGATGGGGCTTTAGCCTTTACCATCGAATGAGACAACAGGTCAGGAATAACCACCAATTGGTGGATTATACCTTAATTGACGTATAATCCACCAATTGACATATAATGGTATAGACCAATTGACGTATAATTCTTTGTTTTTCAAAGCAAATTATTCAACCAAAGTGGAGCATTGTTTTCTTAAAACCATATTATTGTATGAAAACATGTCAAACATTCCTAGTTTAGTATAATGACATAACATACTGCATTTAATCAATAATTGTATATGCAGTTTCTTCTATTGTTATCTTGTTAATTCTTGATTGGCAAATTTATCACTAATCACCTGTCAATGGGCATCAATACTGTCTGCAGTCATGTGATTATGAGTACAACTCCACAGGTGAATGAAGCTCTTTGTTAATACTTGAATTTCATTATTAAAACTCAATCATGGTCAATAGTACAGATGTTTCATCAAAAGAATTGTTGTACACATGCATTCCCAAGAGATGCATCAGGCTTTGACAAAACTGAAACTTTCTGAGGACTCAATAATGGTCATAAAATAGGTTGTAAGTTGCAAAATGATGCTCCTACATGTCCTATTTCACACTAGCATTTTATAGCAAAAAAACTTGCATTATACGTCAATTGGTCTATACCAATATATGTCAATTGGTGGATTTATACGTCAATTGAGGTATAATCCACCAATTGGTGTTTATTCCTGACCTGGACAAGTGCCTTCGTTTTTTGCTATGGGAAAATTATGACTTTCATGACCTTCGACCTTTTCGTTCTGGATGTTATCGTCTACTGGAAGAAATGAACCCGATGTTTTAAAATCACCATATGGTACATATATTTTGTGAAAATTGTGGTTTATGTTTTGTTTATTTTATCACTGAAAAGCTTCGATATAAGTAAACGCAAACGAAAATAAGTCGGCAAATGGCCCCTGTTAATCATGCTATATATATATATACCTTTCTCTGTCCGTGTGCTTAAAACCTGAACTTGGATTCCAAGGTCTAGCTTGCGCAGGTTGAGTCTGTGCCATGTTGACAAAATTTATGTTCAATGTCAATCTTATGCTTGAAATTGCATTATCTTTTACACTCTGTTAAGCGTTCACATGACAATATGTCTAATAAAAAGAAGAATGACGGAGAATGTTCCGCCGACACAAAGTACAGTAATTGAAAAACTCTTCATGTCAGTTCCCTTAATTATTTAAAAAAAAAATAATATATCTTTGAGAACAAAATGTTGCAATGCCGTTATCAGCATTGGAAACTCTTATAGTGACAAACAAACTTTTTTAAGACAAACAAAAATGTACATTTTCATTGTCTAGAAGTTTAATAGTCAACATGGTCAATGTCTTCTTTTATGATGTTTGATATTTTTTGGACACGAAAAGGGGGCTATCATCTATGTCGCGAATTTCGAGCCTGAAAAAAATAGTAAAAACTATCGTCACGGTAAATAGTGGTAAACCGTAGAGACTTATATATTATAAAAATTGTAGGACTCACGGTTCTGATGTATGATATGTCTTTTATGTAATTCAATACAGTAAGATGCGCAGAATAAATGGCAAAAAAATAAAGAATAGAGAAAAATAGGGCAAACAATTAAAGAATAGAAAATAATGGGGGACGGTGCTAAACTATAAAGAATTAGAGAATAATGGGCAAAAATATAAAGAATAAGCAAATTATGAATGACCTAAAAAAATTAAAGAATACAGAAATAAAGAAGTTAACACTTATTTATAATATATGATAATTGGCAAAATATATATTTATTCATTTATTTATTGCCATTTATGTGGTTTCATGTTATATGAAAACGAGCGTATTATATTAAAATGATAAATCTAGTTTTCATAGTGAACGAAGAGCCACATCACCATGGTATATAGTTTGCGTTCTCGTTTCTTCCCCCGAAAAGAAAAACTTGAGCACGAGAGTCCCTCGCTTTTCGTAATATCATCCAAATTTAAAGAGTTGTTCAGATATAAGTTTATGCAATAGAGGTATATTTTGTAGAGAAATACACATTTATGTACGTAAACCAGTTTAAAAACTTGGTTAATTTAAACATCCCCGTATATTTATTTACGATTTTTTTAAATACTTATTTTATTCAATAAAACAACAACAGCGTTACTTTATTTTAATAGGGGTACAAGGTTAGTTATACGACTAATCTTCTGTGAGGCCCTTGATCATCAAAGAAAATCGTTAACTTAGTTGAAAAAATGAAAAATGCAATGAAGTTTTATATATCAGTAGCGGATCTTTGGGGGGTGGGGGGGGGGGGGGGGGTGGTCCAGGGTTGGATATATGATGTTATATTAGAAATAATAAAAGAAATACTTTATTCTAGTTTCAAACGACAAATAAGCGAACTGATGGGAATTCCATTAAATACCAAAATACCAGACGCAATGATTAAACAGCCGTATAGGCTAATTATAAAAGGTGGAAATGGGGACCCAACATGACGGTTAATGGCAAAATAGAAGAAAAGTATACTCAAGCCGGTGCTAGGGGTTGTCTTGCAGTGAGGTGAGAGTTTTTTTTCTCCGTGTTGAATGCCTCACTGTGACTTTGAGATAAAGAACAGCAATAAAGGCAATGTTCTTTTGCTTTCTATGTGTTTTTTGCTGTGCATGTACTGATTTTTGGATGGATACCCCATATCCTTTGTTTTTCTATTTCTTTTCATATTAATGGGTAAACAAAAGGCGACATGAGATGGCAATTAAACCAATGCAAAAGATCTATACTGAGGTTAAAGAGGTCGGACCAATTTGCCCTCATTTCTTTCACTTTAAAACAGTAGAAAAATCCCAAAACTGTTAAAACCTACTGAAAAGACGAGATATGGAACGGGGCCATTATCTGGCCCCTTAAATTGCAGACAAATTAAAATTATTCAAGCTTTTCAAAATAATTTTTATTTACTGATAAATGAACAGGTTGGTATAATCTGGACACTTGAGTGCAATAAGGTTACTTGTGATATGTCACTTTGATGTCGTAAACATGTCGAACGTGGCATGTTTGACATGATGAAATGGCCATTTTGTGCATATGTACATGAGCCAAGGCTAAAAGTCTTATGAACATCCAAAGGACTTATACTGTTTTAATTTCGAATTTTCGGACCTGAACATTGACTTTATCCTAAGACTACTATAACACATAATGTTAGTAGTCGCAGCTTTATCGTAGTAATTACCTTCTTCATTGAATATTAATGAGTCTCAATAATAAACATTAAATATTTTAAAATTACGGTTACAGATATCATTAAAAATCAAAATGTTATTTATTCTAAATATTGCCTTTAATTGCTTACATCCACTTTTTCATTTGAACTTTGGTGAATATATTTGTCTCATTGGAAATCATACCACATCTCCTTATTTTCATATATTTGTTGTTGATTTTTTTTAATTCAATTTTGTATTGAACTGTTGAAAGAAATCCTTTACCAACAAGAATCTATTTCTTTCTGTTTTAGACCAGCTAGGTATTAGTATAGAATAGAGGATGGAAACGCGGAATGTGTCAAAGAGACAAGTACCCGACCAAAGAGACAAGTACCCGACCAAAGAGACAAGAACCCGACCAAAGAGACAAGTACCCGACCAAAGAGACAAGTACCCGACCAAAGAGACAAGTACCCGACCAAAGAGCAGAAAACAGCCTATAGTTTTACTTCCAATAGATCTAGAACTTTGGTTTTGGTTAGGAAAATCCCTCTTGTTCATATGGAGCATAATTACTCAAACTTTACCAAAATATAACCAAATTGCAGTTATGACCCATCTTCAGGCATTTATATATATATAAATAAGGATATGTGGTATGATTGCAAATGCAGGAGACAACTATCAACTCGAGAGCAAAGGATGCAATTAAACTATATACAGTAAAGTTAATTAGAAATGTTTGCCAAATTTTTTTGCCAAAATTACAATGGACAATTGAAACTCTAATTTTATAAATTTGATAGCCTTATTCAGAAAGAGAGGCGAAAGATACCAGAGCGACATTCAAACTCATAAGTCGAAAATAAACTGACAACGCCATGGCTAGAAAAAAAGAAAAATACCAACAGACAAACAGACAAACAATAGTCCACAAAACACAACATAGAAAACTAAAGACTGAGCAACACGAACCCCACCAAAAACTAGGGGTGATCTCAGGTGCTCCGGAAGGGTAAGCAGATCCTGCCCCACATGTGGCACCCGTCGTGTTGTTCATGTTAGTACAAACCCGGTAATAAGTCTAATTCGGTAGGTCAGTGTATGCAGCTTTGCCTGAAATCACGATAGTTCCAAGTTCTCATTGTTTAAAAATCGCAATAATAAATGCACACAAAAAATTATCAACGTACAGTCGCCAACAACCATGAAAAAATGTAAGCCTTGAAAGGCATTGGAAAACAACATGTGAAACATTTCAGAAGGGAAATAAATGGCATATGATATATGCTTAAAACATAAATGTAAAACAATTATGAAAGACAACAAACAACGACAACTAGACTCTAACCAGAAACAGGAACATACAGAAAAATGTATATGAGAGCTTTACTCTCATAAACAGGTTAAATGGTCAGAAATACGCCATCATATTGTAATAAGGAGTCTGTAATTCAGTGGTTGTCTTTAGTTGCATGCAGTATATCATATTTTTTTTTCGTTTTATATTGGTTTTTTTACATAGATCAGGCCGTAAGTTTTCTCGTTTCAATTATTTTACACTTGTCATGTTGGGGCCTTTCATAGCTTACTATATATCTATTATGGGTTTTTCTAATTGTTTAAGACCCTACGGTGACAGTGCACAATCCAGAGGGGATCCGGGGGTTGGAACCCCCCTTTTTAAGATCAATGCTTTTGAATGGGCACATATAGCTGGAACCCACCCACCCCCTGTTTCCTGGGTTGGAACCCCTTTTAAAAATGGCTAGATCCGCCCCTGAGTGACCTATATTTTTTAACTTGTACGTCACTATGTCTCTGGGGGATAGCGTCTCATTTGCAATCATTACACTGTGGCACATATTCTTAATTCTATATCATAGTACACACATGAAGCTGTCATACTGATATATTGTCGTGAAGATTGAAAAACTTTGTAAAAATGGCCCTAACTTGAAATAAAACATGGGGTAAATAGTCCATTCTGATCACTGCTTGATAAAGTAATGTTAACGATCAGCAGTTTCCTCCGCTATACCTTGATGCTAACAGTTGCTCAAAAATGCTATGTGTGAAATCCTTATAGTCTTTACTGCCGATGGTATAATTAAGACAGCACAAGTTCTGTACATTGAGCTTGCTTTCAGTATCTTCGAGCATTCTTTTATATGATATTGTTTATTATTGTTTTGCTGTTCTGTGTTTTTCGTAGTTTTTTTAACTGGTATTGTTTAGGTATGATAAGTGCTTTTTAAATGAACTGAATTTTACATATGTTCTCTAAAATGTAACTGTATTCCACTGATCTCAATCTCATTTTCTCAATTAACGATCCGACGGTAAGACGATATGTCAGTACTTATATTTCACATATCATACAATGTAGTTAAAAAAATAATATAAAATAATTGTCTTTAGACCGTCGCGTGACTGAAATCTCTTTTCTTTCTTTAAATATTACGTATTATATATATGACATAGGATGACCTGACTGAGAATTACAAAAAATCATTAATTATTTGTCATAAACTGTTATTTGTTTATGACAAACGACCCCGAGGTCGCAGAAACTTTACAATGGCTGTATGTCAAGCAGAATGAATGTCCATCATTGTAAACTTATTTATTGTGTCCGATTAGCCTACTATGATATTAATGTGGAAAAAAGTATAAAAGATAGCGAATATCATGTCCTATTCGCTTCCTTATAATAACATCTTAATAATCTGAAAATCGATTAACGTCTTATTTAATATTCATACGCCATGTTGATAATTTTATGGAAGTCCATGCAAGAAAGAAGTTCAAATCAGACATATTTGTTACGTAAAAAGGTTATGATGATACATTTGATTACGGACGAAATTATTTGACTAAGTCCGGTTCGCTTTGCAGTGTGTGCAGAAGAAAATAGAAATTAAAATCGTGAATGTTCTGCACCAAAACAATGAACACCTTAAAAAATAACATCAGGTCGTGATCCTCAATGGACTCTTAAATGTCAGGTCATGAGTTTTTTTTAGAATTATTTTACTGGTTCGCCCGTAAATAAGATAGATGTATGGACAAGTACAAAAAAACAAACAATTATCGTAATTAATTCTGTTATGTAAGAAATATACACCATTTTTTCAATATTATTTATCGCAAACTGTGACGTACGCCAGAAACGCAATGTTGTACTAGTATACTGAAGGTGATTTAATTAATAAGACGACCCCTTTTATAAAACATGAAAATTTACAAAAATGGGGACCCGGGGGTCTAATAACATATAACAATCATAATTTAAGATGCATACAATCTGGTACACTGATACAACATATACAAACTTATCGGTTCTCGTTCGCTTTGCTCATACAAACATAAAACTTGTCTTAATTATGCGTAATAAATAACCCAAAGACAGAAGTTGGAAGAAAAGACACAAACTGACCAGTTTTATTCTTACTGTTAAAACACCAATATTTCACTAAAATAACTCGTTTAATAGTCCTTTTAGTGTGTGGCCTCCAAAATAGTTCTTGATTATATTATATTCATAAATTTGATCTGCAAAAGAAAACAAAGGTCGATATTAACACAGAAACACAGAAGATATACTTTTACTCTTATACAATTTATTCCATATCCAAGAATACATACAATATATGTATAATGGCCGATAAACCCAGCAAGTATAGTGGACAATAGTATTGTTTATTCAAATCTATATTTAGATCTATGCAATTATAATAATCGCAAATAACTTAAATTTCAAAATTGCGTGTATAGGTGCCATCTAACTGATGATACAGACAAAAAATATAGAAGTATGACAAATATAAAATATAAATAATATGCAAGGCGACTGCTGAATACTCAATCACTTTCGACCTCGCCGACCAGGAACAACCAACCAAACACCCAATATTGGGGGTAAACTGGAAACCTGTTTCCGAACCCAAGTAATGCGCAAAGTCGTCTCAAGGGATATAATCGGACGTGTAAATTTAATATAATATGTATTCAATAATCATAGTCATATCCATTATACCAAGAAGTTGACTGATTTGAATGTTGTCATGTCTGCTGCCGGTTACGAAGTGATAAATATAACCAATGAATTTGTTTTCATTATACCATTCATCACGTGTCTTATATCTCAAGAAAAAATTAAAAGCATAATTATTTGCTATTACCGACAATACAATAATTTATTGTTTGTACTAACACGACGGGTGCCACATGTGGAGCAGTATCTGCTTACTCTTCCGGAGCACCTGAGATCACCACCATGCAGTTTTTGGTGGGGTTCGTGTTGCCCAGTCTTTGGTTTTCTGTGTTGTTTTTTGTACTGTTGTTTTATTGTTTGTCTTTTTATTTTTTAGCCATGGCGTTGTCAGTTTATTTTAGACTAATGAGTTTGAATGTCCCTTTGATATCCTTCGCCCCTCTTTTTCTTTTAAAAATACCGAAACGTGAAACAATCTTCTTCTTTACACAATAAAGTAATAATTACGGCTTTCAATATGATGACTATATATATACTGTGTCAAACTGGTCAGATGTAATTTAAGATATGAATAGAATACAAATGATTATTTTTAACAAAATTATTGCTTATAAATATGAGCTGAGAATTCAGCTTTAAACTTATATAGACTGTCAGCAGCGAGGCCAGGGAAAACAACATGCAATCCGACAAATGATTGCAATCCAGCAATAAAAGTTTCACTATAATACAATTATTAAGAATAGCCAGCAAGCACTGAATGAAAACAGGTTAAAAAACTAAAACTTAAAACACTAGAAATAATTGGAAAAAAGTAAAATAACCAAAATACCGAATTCCAAGGAAAATTCAAAACGGAAAGTCTTTTATCAAAAGGCAAAATCAAAAGCCCAAACACATCAAACGAATGGAAACAACTGTCATATTCCTGACTTGAAAAACTATCTTTAACTGCCGGTTTGTCCACAGGAGAAGAAAAGGAACGGCACTTTAAAACATTTTTTTTATTGGTTAAGAGTTATACGGTATATGATAGTAAAAACCCAATATCTCATAGACAATAGACAATATAGAATATTTATTTACACAAACACATTTATATTTAACGGCGTTATCAGATACAAACAAATACACCTAATTATATACACGTACTTAAAACCGGTCTTTACCCGTCTCGGGGCTGATAAAAAACGATTGCCATTGATTGTATTATGGGGGTGGGGAGGGGGACCTTTTCAGAGATGTCTGGATTGAGCCTTTATTTTTGCGGAAATTCGGGATTTACACTGATCGGGACTCATGAATCATGGATTAACTTTTACGGGAAAGATGAGACCCCCTACAACCCCCTTCTCTTAATTATATAGAAAGTTTACTTGTATTCACCAGTAAGTATATAATAATTAAATGTTCATATATATCAAAATGTTTTCTTGGTTATATCTATATATATATATATCAAAAATTGGAACAAATGCTATATGATATATTAAGTTTCCCTTATAGCCCACAGCGGTACGGGTGTCATTCCTGAGATTACTGAGATCTATAACTGCTCCACAATTTTTTGATTTTGGGTTACAAACAACGAAAGTTCTGAAACGGCGAATGTGTTATTTTGTAAATATTAAATTCTTAACAGGACAGTCATGTTAAAATTCAAATTCTCCTTCTTCAAACATTGTCGGTCGGGTCGGTATAGGAGTCACATAATTTAGTTCTACGCCATTGGGAACTGGCCTAAGAATTAGTTTTCCAGATTTATTTGGAATTGAAAGTCTTACTCCATTAGGTGACTGAAATTCGAAACCGCCGTTTTTTGTTAATGAAATGATACCATTATATATTTGTTTTGATTGTGTATTTTTTGTTTGCACTATAGTGTTAGTTCTCACTGAATTACTTTGACCAGAAAAACGCGATTGAGTTAATTGCGACATAAGCTGAATGGGCGTACCAGCAACTTGGTTATTGTTTAAATTTCTTATTCCTGTTTGAGGTGGTGGCTTTGTTGAATGAATTATGTTTCTACTTTGCGTTGGTGGTCGGATGTTCCTGAATGACTGCGTTGGTGGTCGGGTGTTCCTGAATGACTGCGGGGGTGGTCTGGTGTTCCTGGATGACTGTGTGGGCGGTCGGGTGTTCCTGAATGACTGTGTGGGTGGTCGAGTGGTCATGGTTTTGTGTGGAGGAGGTCGTGTATTCCTAGATGTCTGAAGATGTGGACGCTTATTTCTAATTGTCTGTATATTTTCTTGAATAAAATTGTCTGGTAAACTAACAGTCACTGGATTGGTTACAATCGTCTGCTGTCGTGTAATTCCAAGTCTTCTCTTCAGTAGCTCTAAGATGATTGCTTCGTATGTTAAACTGTTCCTTAATACTGTATCAGCTAAATTTTGCCTTCTTGCGTTATTTTGCCTCTGAAATTATAAACTTGATCTTATTACTACGTCGATCTCAACGATAATCTAAAGTTGAACAATAGGAGATTTTGAGTACACGTCAATGACACAACAACCAACACAACAAAAATAACCAAAAGACATTTAGAGTGAAACAATAGACAATTGTCTAATCAATAAGTCAAGTTCTAAATCGTCCGAGTCTATAAAAGTTGTGATTAGATTACTAGTAGATAGAAAAAATAAAAAAATCTGCATTGTTTGCATTACCAGATTTTGCATTGACACCAAATTCTCCAAAAAATAAATAAAAAACACTTTAAGATATGACATAAGACAGCCATTGACGGGGTTCCTGACTTGGGACAGGCACCTTGAATATGTGACGGAGTTCCTGACTTGGGACAGGCCCATGCATATGTGACGGAGTTCCTGACTTGGGACAGGCTCATGAATATGTGACGGAGTTCCTGATTTGGGACAGGCTCATGAATATGTGACGGGTTTAACCTTTTGTTTGTCTAATTTTCTGTGAGCTCAACCACCCTTCTCGTTTTAATCTTGAGACTAACAAGACAATGAAACGTTTTTTTTTTCTTCTTGCGTTATATTGCAAAGACATAACTTTTTGCAGGATATTTGCTGTTAGACAGGGTTATTTGTCGGTTCTTAGTTTGCAAGCGAGGTTTATTTACCATAATTATTTTTTTATTATATGTTATTTTATTTTTATTGAGGTCTCGATGATGTTGTTGTTCATTGTAATGTTAATGTTTCTATGCCTTTGACCCTCTTATGTGTATAATTTGAGCAATAAAGATATTATCATTATTAACAATGGAGATTTGTGACGAAAACATAAGCCAGATACAAACATATGTAATTGAATTAGATTAATTTTTGAAAAAGAAAACTGATAAACACCAGAAGTCTTACCGTTCTCATCCGTGAAAAATGACTGCAATAAATTCCCCCAATGACCGAAATAATTATCACATAGAACGAAGCACATTTCAAAGTTTTAGTGTCCATCTTTTCTTCATTTAATTTTTTTTATTTATCGTTTTCACAGACAATTCCATATTTGTGTTGGGGTCAAGCAAGGGTGTTGTATCTACCCTGCTATCTTTTTTCGATACAATGAATTACGGCCGTATACACATACACCAACACATGAAATGATCAATCATAAATCTATGAACGAAGCTACGGTAAAAACACCTGACAAGTAAGATTAAAAGTTGACATTGATTGTTATATTAATTATGATAAATTGATATATTTCACTATTAATCTAATACACATTTTGTATCTTTGTATACACCTGCTGACCATTAGTTGACAATTATAGGTGCAGCGTTTATCACCGGTCTTTCTGTGAGTTAGTAGCTGATTAATAATTACCATGAATAAAATAGAGGCATTAATAATAGACTGGTTAGATTTGAAGCCAAGTTTGTGTGTCCTTAAAAAAGACGAAAAGTAATTTAATACAGGGAATACGGTTGGCGTGTATTGATCCTTAAACCGCAAAGTTCAAAAAGGTGAAATTTCGGTGGTGTTTTTTGCATGCTTTTGATGCAAAAAATATGTACTTTTTGGGTTTTATTCAATTTAAAGAAAGCAGGCCCCTAAAAACCATAATTATCATGCATACGGCTATTGACCGATAAAATCTGTTTGAAAAAATAAAAGACACGAAAACAATAATTTGCTCAATCTCAGCTAAGATCGTTACATTTTAGGGGTAATATGCGAGAACCCATGGACTCAGAATTGGAAAAGTGAGGTTGTGAAGGGTAACAGATGTTCAGGCTCTGCTTTCTGATGAAATACGGCTGCAAAGGTGTCGCATAATATGGATGAAACTGCCGCTAGGCAGATTTATAAAGTTATTCATCAATCAATTTCACCACCAAAACATGTATACTCGTACGGGGAATTTAGACTATTCACAGGGTGTGAAGCCGAAGCATCACGCATACGATATTCACGCTATCTTGAAAATATTACGTTACAAATATTCTCATTGGTTACCTTGTGATGTTAAACCGAATAATTCATAATAGGTTTAGGTAGTCAATTTTGATTAATTGATAATTTTGAATTGATAAGGATAAATCAATAGTGACATTTGAATTTGATAAGTTTAATTCGATGTTCACATGGTTCACGCGATCTTGATTTTTTTTTTACAAATATGACTCCTGATTGGTTGTGACTAAGTTTATTTTAGCCTGGCATTCCGGTCCAAACTCCTGTCAAGCAGTGGATAGGATTCCAGTCAATTGTTTTTTTTTTTGCTAGAATGATATATAGAATTGTGAACATTTCCCGGATATTAGATATACAGAATAAAGGAATAGAATTACAGCATGGGTACTCGAGACCCGATCAACAATTATTGCTGGATGTTGACGTCTTTTCAGAAAGTTCAAACTTGTACATGGTGTAGATAATGAGATTTAGCCAGATTAACAAATGACAGTAGTTTTATGTAAAAACAAAAGTTTGAAAGGAGTGTATATGAATAAATTTACAAATGTTACTTACTGCATATAATGATATGAAATTAAGATAATACAAAATTAAAAAGCATTTATATATATAATTTGGTTTTGTTCTCACGATTGTGTAATTACTATATTGCTGGTACATTGTATTCAAAAATTGCTAATAACTAAACACAGTAATTTAAATACCCAGCCTGCCATGCAGCGATTGTCTTCGATATAAAGAAGTGGTTTGTCATATATATACTGGATTTTTATTTGATCTGTGCTATACGATCGAAGCAGGAGTGCCACTTGACATACCAGTAGAATGGGGAACTCATTGTTTATACTTCTAGAGAACCTGTGTTCATATTAATCTTAAGTTTTGATGGGTTCGTAGTGTTGTTCAATCTTTAGTTTTCGGGTAGTTTTGTTGTTGTTGTAAATTCACGTTAACTTTGTCTTTTGGACTTTGATTGCAGTTTTAGTATCTCCTAAAAAATCATATAATATATCATATACTACACATGAAAGTTGGTATCCAAAAAAGAACATGTACGCGTAAAAGTGGTAAACATTATTTTAATTTTTCGGTAGAATGTATATCCAGGGTTTGTTGTTAGGGGCGTTCCTAAAAATAAGGAGTTGAATGACATTATCTTGACAAACTTTGGCTTTTATTTCACCTATATAGTTTTACATGTATTACATTTTTTCTAATTTTTAGCGTGATTCCGCGCCTGTATTTGTGTGTTTACTGTAAACAAAATAAAAAATGTACTTTGTTTATGGTAAACACATCAATAGGCAATAATTAAGTTTCCGGTGTATCTAGCATTAAAATGTCGGAACAGTCATTTGTAAGTACTTGGTCTGATATAAATCATGTACTTGTTTATACTACGTGACCAACTGTATTTTATACATGTTCGATATTTGTAAACAAATAAAACGTTAACGTTAAGCCGATCAATATCAGCTCCCACCCCTTTCCAAATAAAAACAGCATTAACGGAAAAACCATATAGAACACCCCCACCCCAATAATAAAGAAAAAACTAAAATAAAAACAAACACAAAATATAAAAATAGGTAGAAAAGTAGTAGAAAATAAAAATTCCGTAAATACTAAAAGAAAAACAAACAAAAATAAGAAATATGGAAACGCAACAGAAAAACAAACATATCTTATATTATAAATATTATTTTAACTTGATACACTGCAATGGTAATTATATCAGTTTGCATAACAAAACATAATCATCTGAAATAAGTCATCATAAAACCATAATGAAAGCACCATAAACTGATAAGTTCCACTGATAACCATGGTTGTTAGATATAAGAAGATGTGGTATGAGTGCCTATGAGACAACTCTCCATCCAAGTCACAATTTGTAAAAGTAAACCATTATAGGTCAAAGTACGGCCTTCAACACGGAGCCTTGGCTCACACCGAACAGCAAGCTATAAAGGTCCCCCAAAATGACTAGTGTTAAACCATTCAAACCAGGAAAAAAGACTTAGGACAGGTGCAAACACATGCAGCGGGTTTAAACGTTTTAATAAGCGCCAACCTTCGCCCTACCTGAAACAATAGTGTAACATCACAACATAGAAAGACACACTATCAAATATCAATTGAAATGGCTTAACTCAATCAACATGATCAAAAGACATATTCACAAAAACAAGTGAACATATTACACTGAACGAATAAATTTGATCTATGACACAATTCAATGTAAATACAAAATAATAAAACAAGGGGGTTAGATGTAAAACAATATCAGAAAGAGAACCATAACCTTGGACAAAATGCCGCCAAATAAAATAACGTACACAGGTAAATAAAAATAATTTTGTTGTAAGGTATACATGGAGTACGGAAATAATTTTTACAAAATAAATAATTTTGTTGTTCCTAGTACGAGAACAAAAGTGAAAATTTATCGTCATAATAAACACTTATCAAAGGTGCTATATATTAAAAAAAGTGAGACTAGATATAACACTGAATAAGTAAATATTAAATAACAAAAATACATTACAAATTGTATCAACAGGTCTAATTAACACGAAAGTACGATTTGAGAGTACTTGCAGATACTGAAAGCTAGTTTAAAGCCAAAAAAAAATCAATAATAAAAAATCATGCATCAGAGACTGTTCGTTTAAAGTTTTTATATTTTTGTTGTTGTCCATATCTGTTGTTATTCTGGCTTTGCAAGTGTGTTTTGTACACCTTAACGACTTGTTTCTATTTTTCAGAACATTAGTTAACAATATATATATGTGGCCATGATACATTACAGATAGATTTCCTGTGTTTGTCTCCGAATTGACAATGTCCAACTTGACACCTCAAACGTGTGAACACTATATAATTTCAAACCAAAGTAACTTTCAGTTTTGTATTACAAATGAGTATGAACTCATTTGATTACCCATGGGGAATACTGTAAAACAAATTCTTATTCACGATATAGCGATGAATATTTAAACTTTTCCGTTATTTGTTAACTGTACAATGGGACAAATGTAGTTTTCATTTTTTTTTTGGCGTAAATGAAATACAACCTTGTGGCGCAAATGAAAGTGCATTTTGTAAAAATTGGCGCAAATGCATTTTACTCTGATTACAGACAAACCTGTGCATCCGGAAAATTTGTAAGGCATAGCATGCCCTAGATATATAAAATTCAAACGCATTTTATGTTTCAGAAAATCAAAAACTTTACAGGATTTTGCTGATTTAAAATTTGTTTACTTTGCGTATTAAGAGAAGGTAACTCAGAACATGTATAATCTATAAAGAAATCTTCAGAAATTTTTTTTATGTTTTATGTTAAAGCAGAAAAAAACGTACTGTGATCTCATTTTTTTTGTCTTTGATATTCTGGGAGCATTTTATAAGATCTATCTTCTCATATTCTATTTCAAAGTTCTATCAATAAGTTTACTTTCTATTCACATAATGATGCCTTTTCTCTGTATATCCTTACACAATGTGTCATTTTTTCACAACCTGTCGCTCGTGTACGTATCCTTTCTCGGCGCAGGACGTTTGCGCTTTTTCATAAAACATTTGCGCTTTTTCATAAAACATTTGCGCTTTTTCATAGAATATTTGCGCTTTTTAAAAAAATGACATTTGCGCTTTTCATATAGGACATTTGCGCTTTTAAAATATTTGCTTCTTATGGCTTCCCTCCTATTTTACCCAGGCTTAGGACCGGTAGGTTTCAACTTTGACCTGGCACAGTTAAAGACATAATTTTCATTATGGTTAAAAGTTTAATAATCATTTCATAGCACATTCGTGTTAAGAAGTAATTTCATAGTACATTGATATAATAGCTCAAAGTAAACATTCTAAAGACATAAAGATACGTAAAGTCATCAAAGGTTAGTTTTCGCTTGACATCTGGAGCTTATGGATTGAAAAAATATAGCTCTTGTAATCTGTCCTGACTAACATTTCGCCCACATTTTAAATAAATATTCTAGTTTCTCTTTCTCAAATCTTGACTGAGGCCCCTATCCATCAATATAACGAATTTTAATGTTATTGACCGACTGTTGTTCAATGATAAAAATCCATCGTGACATATACATTTTTTCCTTTGCTAGTCTATAACTTTAAACTCTATGTTGAAGTCTGTGTCAATGTGAACTAACTAACCACAAATATAAGTTGAATTTAAAATTACAAGTAGACGACTATAAGTAAAAATTCATAAGGGGTTCCGCGGAACCCTTTGTCTCGCCTACGATTGCTGCTGTCAATGTAAAAGTGTAATGTTGACTTAAAAAGTGAGTACATTTATCAGAAATATACAGAATTTTTAAAAAATCAAAGTTTTTCTTCAGATGCTATTTTCTTGGTCTTCTGTCTAAGTTTCATAACAATCCATGAAGGTTTCCAATTTAATCATGTAAAAAAAAATTAATCCTAGACTGTCTGTAAATGTTAACTGTAAAAAATGAAGTCCATCTATCAGAAAAAATACTAAAAATGAAAAAAAAAAATTCAAAGATTTACTTCAGACATTATCTCTCAATCATTAAAACACTACTGCCAAAGTTTCGTAAAACTCTATGAAGGTTTGAAAAAGTAATTGATGTGTTACAAACTTTAACGCCAGACTGTATCTACAAAAAATTTGCAAAATTTTGCTCTGGGTACTGTCCAAATTTTATAAAATTCAATGAAGGTTTGACAAAGTTATTGATGACTGAAAAACTTTAACCTCAGACAAAATCTGAAGTTAACTGTAAAAAAAACTAAGTCCATTTATTAGTAAAAAACGGAAAAATGAACATAAATATATTCAACATTTTGCCCTGGATACTGAATTTTGGTCTTAAACAAGCTTCTGTTCCAATTTCATAAAATTCCATGTACGTTTGACAAAGTTACTGATGTCTAAAAAAAAACTTTAACCACAGACTGAACCTAAATGTTGACGCCGCCGACGCCTACGCTATTATTTTGATGTCATTCTTAGTTATATATATAGCTCTTTAACTGTTTCGATTCTTACACAAACTTGGCTTTAAAATATTCGGCTTTGAGAGGTAAATCCAGGATAGCGCTTTGGAGGCATGACATTTATAAAGTGTTGTTTTTATAGTTGTCTCTTCAGGTATAAGATTTTCGATGAACTTTTCGTTTTAATAGGACCGCCTCCCTCTGCTTTCCAATGTTGCAATAATACCTTTCCGTGCACTTGTTTCAAACCTGGAGCTAGCGGTGATAATGGTCTATCAAAAGCTCTTAAAAACAATGAATCCTTTAGACCATCTTAACCAACTTAATCAAGGCAGGTAAATTATTAACATTTTCCATGTAATACTTCTATGTTAATCAAATTTGTCAAGTACGTGCACTGAAAATGTCTTTCAGTGCCTGCCCCAAGACAGGAACCTCGTCAGTGGTTGATTTGTGTGTCATTTCATAATTATTTTATTATTTGTAGAATTTGATGTTCAAGACAGATCGTTGGTTGTTTTTGTCTAATCAATTTCAAACTTTTATAGACTCCAGCAATATAGAGCCTGACATAATGTATATATATATTTGTCGATTGTTAAAAAGACTGTATATATGTGTTACCCTCTAGATCGATGTCTTTTTGTTATTTTTGTCTTTTGTGTGCAGTTTCGAATTCATTGAATTGTGTCCCACATCTTCCTTAATTTGTCATATTTCAGAAACAAAACTTCCACACATGTTAGACTGAGACCTTATTCATACGTACCCACTGGAACCTCATAGTATAGTAAAGTAATTACACTAATTCTACTTAATTAATGCCCACAAAGACATGTTAAGTTTTGCATATTGTTTAACATTGTATTCTGAATATAAATTAAGCGAGAATGACAAAATCACACGGAAAATTATGAAAAACACACTTGTTTATTACCTGCTTTTGGTGTGCACTTTACATTTTGCATGTACACGTAAGTCTTAGTAGATCTAATTTAAAATTTAATTTAAAAGCTTTGTATTTATGGTGAAAGTCGTGGCAATATGTTCAGATTTTCCTATTTTTTCATTTTACAATAATTTTATTTCAATATAATAATATAAAGTCTATATAAAAATATGCGTCATGTAGATTTTCGACATCTTGATTTGCAGAAAATAATCACGTGATGTCTTACGGTGATGTTTTATTTCCAAATGTTATAATGAAATATAGTTCAACCTCGATAAATGCAAGTGCTCTCAACGTTCTACAAACGACTACCTTCATCTATCTCAAAATATCCTGATTAAATCATTAGAATGTAATTATAAGAATTATAAGAAGCTTTTAATTCGTAAACGTGGATACATACGAAATAAGTAAAATAACAAAAATACCGAACTCCAAGGGAAATTCAAAACGGAAAAGTCCTTAATTAAATTTATAAAATGGAAAAAACATAAGCCCAAACACATCAAACAAATGGAAAATCCCTGCTTGGTACAGGCATTTCCTAATGTTTAAAATGGTGAATTAAACCTGGTTTTATAGCTAGCTAAACCTCACACTTGCATGACAGTCGCATAGAATTCCATTATATTGACAATAATGTGTGAACAAAACATAGACATAATTGGTAAAAATGTCAAAATTTGGGGTACGGCGGTCAACATTGTAATATAATTTTAATCACTAATCGAAACGCTTCTGTGCTGGAGTGGTGCTTCGGTAACGCTTTTACAAACCAATAAAACTACAAAAATGGCTTTCAATTCTTTATCATGAGTCTCATATCAAATTATGATATTTATGTACAATCAAACCAAACATTAATGTGTCTTTTTATTCACATTTACTATATCATAAGTTTATGAATAAAAGGAGATATGGGGTATTATATGAAATAACACGTACATAGCTGAGAGGGTGATAGAGCAGATTGTTACCCCGAAAAAGCATTGTCAATTGAGGCGAAGCTATGTGTTGTTTAATTTATTATACTGCGGCTCTTTTAAAAAAATACTCGTAAGTCATACACATTTCATTACAACTTACGATCAATTTTAATCGTAAGATTTTTTTGTGAAAAGAGTCGCTAAATGTTATATCATTATTGTCTTTGACTGTTGAATTTTAAATTGAAAATACCTAACTATGACGTCATGTTCAAAACAACGTTACAGTAATTAGAAAAACAACAGAAGTGAAGCAAGATATTTTTTTTTATTTTGACAGTCTATGAAAAATTCTGAGGCCAAAACGTAGAACTTGAGCATTGTCTTTATTTTTTGTATGTAAATTCAATTCATTGTCATTTATATCATCGATTTTTGATTGGTCTGCACGAGAGGGTGACATTCAAAAAATTGTCTCCCGCTGAGCCATGGGACAGAGTAAATTATCTCCCTCGTAGTATCCAATCAAAATCTGTCATTTTGACGTGAAGTATAATAAATATAGTTGATTTCTCATTCACAAAGGCCAATATGGCAAATAGGCACAGGCATACGGTTGCCTGGAATTATGTTCAATAGTTAAATCCATGCTAAAGGGGCATCGTTTGGCTTTACTTGCTGTATATATAGATCCGTTTGGTATTTGAACGTTAGCTCCAAAATTCCGGACCTGTTTAGATAAAGCCACGCTCTCTGCATGTTTCAGCTGTTCAATTCTTTCAGCAACGCTTTGAATGGTCCAAAGGCAGTCTGTTATAAGGTCTTGCTGTCAATATGTTGCATGTGAGGACTTTTTCTCCCCTTTTTTATGAAAAAAAATGTTACGTTTTTCAAACTGAGTGGTTCAATGACACGTGTACCCTTTTTTTCAGAATGTCCTGCCCCATACCCAGGAGAACACGGACCATGTATGGAAACATGTGGATTGAGCAGCCATTGCAGTTCAGGTTTGTGAACATTAGGTTAAAGATTAGCTAGGTAAAACAATGATAAAAGTAAAAAATGGCTTTACATACATAAGTGCCCGTGATGTTGAACTGCAAAGTAATATTTGAAAAAAATACTGTTACACAGTACTTTTAAAAAAAATGAAAAAAGAGACCGAAAAAACCAAGGGGATAATAAAAACAAGAGTGCACTCGCTGAAATGTCTCGCCTTCTTTATTGACCATTGATTTTATGTTGATATTCCTAAATATAAAGCTTTACTACAACTATCACATAAACTTAACATGAACCATGGAAATGAGGTCATGGTCAGATAAACCAAACTGGAAATACATGTACAATCATTCCATACACTAAATATGCTTTAAATATAGTTGACCTTTTGCACATAGTATCTAAGAAATAAACTTAACCAGGAAAACTTAACATTGATCAATGAACCATGAAAATGTGTCAAGGACGGATGAACCCTGCCAGACAGACATGTACACCTTACAATCATTACCAGCTTTAAATATAGTTGACCTATTGCATATAGTAGCTAAGAAACAAACTTAATCAGGAAAACATAAGATTGACCAATGAACCATGAAAATGAGGTCACGGTCAGATGATAATTGCCAGACAGATATATACACCTTACAATCATTCCATACACCAAATATAGTTGACCTATTGCTTATAATATTAGAAAAACAGACCAAAAAACAAAAACTTAACATTGAGCAATGAACCGTAAAAATGAAGTCAAGGTCAAATGAAACAAGCCAGACTGACATGTACATCGTAAAATATTTTCATACACCAAATATAGTTGACCTTTTGCATACAGTATTAGAAAAACAGACCAAAACACAAAATCTCAACTTTAACCACTGAACCATGAAAATGAGGTAAAGGTCAAATGACACCTGCCAGTTGGACATATACACCTTACAATCATTCCATACACCAAATATAGTAGACCTATTGCTTATAGTATCTGAGATATGGGCTTGACATCAAAAACCTAACCTTGTTCACTGATCCATGAAATGAGGTCGAGGTCAAGTGAAAACTGTCTGACAGGCATGAGGACCTTGCAAGGTACGCACATACCAAATATAGTTATCTTATTACTCATAATAAGAGAGAAATTAAGTCACTGAACCATGAAAATGAGGTCGGTCAAGGACAATGGACATATGATAGACGGAAACTACATAACATAAGGCATCTATATACAAAGCATGAAGGATGCAGGTATTCTACCTTCTGATAAATTAAGCTTTTAAAAAGCTTGTAAACGCCGCCGCCAGATCACTATCCGGGATTCCCTATGTCGAGCTTTCTGCGACAGAAGTCGCAGGCTCGACAAAAATCATGATTCGAAGAAAAACCGACAATACCCTAACCAAAAAAAACGACAAGAAGACAACCAACAATACACAAAACATTAAGCAGAAGACAAAGCAAGACGAATCCCTCATAAACCCGTGGTACCAGGTGACGTCAGGTGCTCCGAAAGGGTAAGCAGATTCTGCTGCCACTAATGCCATCCACTGTGTTGCTGATGACAAGTAAAAAATCGGTGAACACTTTCTGTTATAACTTCTTATAATCACATGCAGCTCCGTGTGCCTTATATGGTCCAAATTTTCTTTTACATTCCATTACATAAAACATTTACATCTTAGGTCTGGATGTGGGGTCCTTAATTTCTGCATTTTTTAAATTTTTAAGGCATTATTCTTTATTTATTAAATGTGTACTGTTAAATTTTCATGTAATTTGGTGAATTCTTTATGAGGGTTTAGATAGGGGGGTCCTTCATTTCTTTATTTTTATATAATTTTTTATACCGTTTTTTCTCTATTCCTGATCTTTTTTTGTCCACTATTCTCTATTCTTTATATTTGAACACCCCATTATTTACTATTCTTTATCTTTTTGGCCGATTTTTCACTATTCTTTATTTGTTTGGTCCTTCATTCTGCCCCTTTTGCCCATTATTCTCAATTCTGTAAACCCCATCCAGACTCTCCTTTATTCTGTACATCCTTCATTTCTGTAATCAGTATTGTATTACCTAATTCTTTTATTTTCTACAGTTTTTCCTTATACTTTTACATCCCATTATTCTATATTATTTCTATTTTAGCTCATTTTTCTCTAATCATTATTTATTTTGGCCATTATTCTCTATTCTGTAAACCCCTTCCAGACCCTCGAATATTGATAATCAACCTGCTTCACCAACTTCATTAATTATAAAGCACATAATTTTATATGTATAAAAATATGATTTATTGACATTTATTTTAGTAATACTCCTGAACCAATTTAAAAAATACTTGTATCTTGTAATTTTATGATAAGTTATTAATTCAGTCTATTTTTTCCAGGGTTATGGTGCTGTACTACCCCTTGTGGTGGGACAGTGTGTAAAATACCAGATACACCAAAGCAGACGACATTACACCACCATCAGCCACCAGCTCACACACCAACTATACCAAAGCAGACGACATTACACCACCATCAGCCACCGGCTCACACACCAACTATACCAAAGCAGACGACATTACACCACCATCAGCCACCGGCTCACACACCAACTATACCAAAGCAGACGACAGCACACCACCATCAGCCTTCAGCTCACAATACAATTCCTCAAATTCCACATATACCAACAAAACATGAAGCTCAACAACAATTTTCTTTATATCAAGAATTGTTTCCAGAACTTCAACCGGGTTTTCCACAGCAAGTGCAAACAGATTTCAGCCACCAAACTAATATATATCAAGATCAAATAGTAAATTTGAAAACAGACATGTTTCCAGACCACCACCATGAGGAGTATTTCCTGCAGGATACACAACCACCATTATTTACAGAACCGCAAGGTACTTTATTTCCAGTGTCCTTCCCAGAATTCATTGCAACATGATAGTCAAAATCCTTTTCTCAAATAGTCGAAAGATACTGTCAGCTTTTGATAATTGGGACATTTTAGAGCGTAACATGCACTGTAGTACATTTAGAAATACCATTTAAGATAAAAAATAAGTCATTATTTTGTAAAGAATATTACAACCAGTCTGACTTTAGTCATTCCCACCTATTATGACAAATGGATGTGGATAGTGGTAGATGCATTTAGTCAGACTGTATTACAGCAGTTAATGGAACAAAATAGAAAGCATACAAATATCCTGGAATTAAAATTCGTTTATGAGGGTCTTTATGGGGTTTACAGAAGAGAATAATGGGCTAAAAGTGCAGAATAAAGGGCAAAAAACCCTAAAGAATAAGAGAAAAATAGGCAAAAAATAATAATAGAGAATTATGAAGTGCTAAAATATAAAGAATAGAGAATAATGGGGAATATAAATGAAAAAAGAAATGAAGGACCCCCTCCCCTTTTCCAGACCTTCGTTTATTAGCTGATTATACATCAACTTAACTGGATTGTCAATTTTAGCTTGTCTGGATAGAGAAATATGGGCCATGAAAATTGAAGAAGAGAAAATAATTGGTTGCTTAAGTTTATAGAATAGAGAATAATTGCAAAAAATATGAAGAATAGAGTAAATGGCATAAAAATGAACAAATAAAGAAATGTAGAACATCCATCCACACCCTCGCTCATTCTAGCCTTAATATCCATCAATTTGCCACTGTCCAGAAATGTTTTATAGGTGTTCTATAAAACCTTGAGAAATAAAGATAGAACACATGTCCATAATTTACAAACAAGAGGCACCCATTCAATCTTAAAGAGGAAACAAAGGAAGGTTTTAACAATTTCAATGGTATATTTAGACCATATGTATTTTTGTATTCCTCTTTCAGGCACTCCACAATACAACAATTTCCAAACCCCTCCTCCAAGTAACCATGGTAACACTAGAGTAGAGGTAACATGTCCACCAGAACAACCAAGAGTTCAATGCTGGCATGATCCATGCAATGGTAGAACATGCACAAATTTTCCTGTAGCAGTTTGTGAGTAAGTGGTCAAAAATGATTTTGTTTGAGAAAGTTTGGCATATTTTCTATACACCTATACAATATCACGACAGACAGTTTTGTTGATCGAAGAAAACTGAAATTGGCCAAGCAGACAAGGTATATATTTACTTTGTCTGCAAGAGTGACTGGTAAACTCTATATCACCTTCCCATGATTACATCTTGACATTTTTGCAAATTGCCAGAGAAAACCTTGAAACTCTACCTCAGCAGGGGATCTACCTTTGAAACCATTGACTTAATAAATCTATGCATCTAAACTCAACTATCACAAAAGGAAATCTTTAAATGTTTAAATTTATTGTCTTCATACCAGTGGAATGTTTGGAAAATTCAATTCTTGATTGTATGGGGTTATTTTTCACTTTTATTGTGGGATATTTTAGAATTGTTTCTAGGGATACAAAATACAGTAAATTCAGAAATTGTTGCCTTCATTTATTAATGAGGTAATTGAACAATGGGCACAAATGAGAGATTAATTATTGCAATTTCAGGAAATGCTCTGCAAAATAATGCTATCAAAATTTCAAACGGGAGTTCTCATTTTTGTGAAACTTGTCTTGTTGCACTTTTTGTAATTTCTAAACATAGAATGCAAATTATTATTGGTGATATAGATTATTTATAATTATAATCAATGTTGAAGATATCTTCTTTTTTTCATTTTAGGGCAAATTATTGTGGAGATTGCAGTGCAAAGTTTACTATGGCTACGGTAGATGTCACCAGAGGCTGTGAAGTTCGGTTATGAAAGTTTTTTTTAAAGATAATATTTCATAACTCGTTCAAAATGACTCAATGTCTTCTAGTTGAATATAATATTTAAAATCTATTTTTCTAAGTTTTTGAAAATTAAAAAAATAAAGTATTTGCAAATGGGAGACAACTGCCACATAATTTGGGCAAAAAAACCCCCTAAATTCTAAGGAAATACAGGTATTGCCTGATTTAATCAATGCACCCAAGTTTTCATGCCAGTGGGCTAGTGTAAAATAAGTAGATGCACTGGATATACATCAATGAAACAACTACTCAAGCATACAGCATATTTTCTCTCTATTGGTAGTGAATTTCAATTTTGAAATTACCTGAAAAAATATCATATTTGTTTAGTTTAACACAAATTGGATAAGGCACAAGTCAAAAATCATATTTGTTATTTCATATTATCATAATCAATGTATAATAAACAAAGATATTTTTTTATAAATTCTCCTTTATTTGGGTAAAATAACATACACAAAATATCCATGTATAAATTGTATAACAAGCACCAACTATAATTATGCTGAGGAAAGACTAGAGATTCTGCATAGAGTTTTTGCATAAAGACAAAGGCCAGATAAAATAAGTCCATGATAACCTGCATGCCAGTAAGTTATCTCCCTTTTGTTAATCAAAAATATGTGTCAAAACTCAATTCATTTCCAATTCAAAAATAAAAACCAAACAAGGCTATAACTAAAAAATGCATGCCTTCCACCTGACTTTATACAAAATTAGATTGCAATTGAAGAATTGTTTTTTGTGATAATACTAACAGAAGAATGTTTCACCAACTGTTATAAATACACAAAGAAACAGAATATTTTTATACATTTTGAAAAATTATAATGGATGAAGGAAGGAAACTTTTCATTTATAGATTGAAAAAAAAATGTTTCCAGGTTATAAACTAAAAATAAAACTTTAATGTATCCTGAAGAGAACAGGTTTTCACAATTTTGGTGTGATATTGGTAATACTACTGAAATAAAACAAATGTGGCCAAATTTTGAGACTGATTTATAAGTTAAACTACAACTGCCAGATTATTGCTGTTTATAGGATATACTATCAAATAAAAATGAAGCAAAAATTACTTTGAGTTGACCTTGTTATTCATAAACATAAGGTAGCACTCCATAGTTAGGAAATGAAATTAAAATTGAACCACAAATGTTTAATCATCTTCTATTCCTGGCTTTCTATTACATTAAGCCCAATGTTTGTGTCATACATGTAAAAATGTATGTAATCAGTATCTTCCATTGATTTTCAAAAGTTAAAATGGTGAAATATAATTCCTTTTGTGTATCATGGCAACATTCTGCATTTATTTGCCATAAAATATTGCAAAGAGGGTATGAGAATGTCACATATTCCCCCAAAATTTGGTTCAAACTAGAATTTCAATCCCTTTGAGTGATACCTTTTCTGAAACTATTGACATTAATCTACCAGATGATCAAATAAAAATTGGGTGTCTTTCACCTCATTTTTTCCTTAAAATTGAATCACAAAAGGAAAATGTGGACTGTCATACAGAAAACACCACATAATACATACATGGACATTACACAACCTTGATGTTCATATAAATCACTTTTGAAGGCTATATAAAACTTCAGCTATCCAAAAATGAGTTTTATTGCACACTAGCTTTCATATTTGAACTAGATGTGTCGGAACGACACGAATGGCCCTGTCTCAAAAAACAGAAAAATCTGCAATTTCAACAACACATGTGTACACAAACATGCATGGATAGTATTTAGCTCTCAAGACCAATACTAGTTTGATGAAAAATTTCCTTGATCAATGAGTAGTTAAATTTCAAACTATCAGCAAACAGGAAGTGGATGTACTGAAGATGTTTTGAAACGACATGAAAATCAGCATATTGGAACGAAACAAAAACTTGATCTGTAACTCATCATAGTAGACTCACATTTTAAAAATCAGCGCAAAATCTGAAGGCGTATAGAAAAAAGTCTGTATAACTGTGATTTTCAACAATTTTCAAAGTCCAAAACCCGTAATTACGGCAAAAATCAGCACAGCAGAACAAAACTTAAACTTTATCTGTAACACATCATGGTTAACTCACATACCAAAATTCAACCCAATATTTGAAGGTGTTTAGAAAAAAATTTCATATAACTGTGATTTTCAACAATTTATCAAAGTCCAAAGCCCATAATTTCGGCAAAAATTAGCTGAACGAAACTTAAACTTGATCTGTAACTCAACATGGTTAACTCACATACCAAAAATCAACCATATCTAAAGGTGTTTAGAAAAAAGTCTGTATAAATGTGATTTCAACAATTTATCAAAGTCCAAAGCCCGTAATTTCGGCAAAAATTAGCAGAGTGGAACAAAACTTAAACTTGATCTGTAACTCATCGTGGTTAACTCACATACCAAAAATCAGCCCAATATCTGAAGGCGTTAGGAAAAAAGTCTGTATAACTGTGATTTTCAACAATTTATCAAAGTCTAAAGCCCGTAATTTCGGCAAAAATTAGCAGAGCGGAACGAAACTCAAACTGATCTGTAACTCATCATGGTTAACTCACATACCTAATATCAGCCCAATATCTGAAGGCCTTTAGAAAAAAAGTCCGTATAATGGTTTGTTGCGGAATGACGGAATGGCAGAATGACGGACAAGGGTAAAACTATATGGCCCCGACAACTTTGTTGCTGGGCCATAAAAATCCACTGTGGACAAAATGCGAAACTACACACCTAACTGTGGAGTGCTACCTAAAGCAGATGGACTCAAATTGGATAGGATAATTATTGAAAAGGGACAAAACATTAGGACTTATACATAAAGCTGATGAATTTAAAACCATTGCAAGAAACATAAAAAAAGAGAGATTCTAATAAAAAATTGCAGATGCTATCCTGAAGACATGAATTTATACATGTTATATTGGATATATATAAATTTACAAGTCCAATTTTCAAAAAAAATATTGCACCATTTTGTTTTTTTTCTGATTATCCAACTTATCTGAGGTATCCTGAATGGAAACTTTCAATCAACTTTAAAAAGTGTTCCCCTATTTCAGATTTTTCTGATTATCTAACACATTCAATTTTAATATGTGGATACCTTCATCCAAATTTCTAAAGGACCCGACAGATAATGCAGAAGCTAGCATGGGCATAGCAATGTGATGATTGTCAGATGGACTGACTGGCCAGTCAAAAGCATTATAACCCCTGCAACTAAGTAGTGTGAGCTATAATTAATTCGCACACAGAAAATGCATTATGCAGAAAATATAACAAGATATTTAACAATATAAAAAATATTTTAACAATCACAACCTGATTAACAAATATTCACAAAATATACATCAAAAGAGTTACTTATCGTGGTATAATTTCAAAAAGTGTATCCAAATTTGTGTCAATAATAATGAAAACTTAATGTAAATATGATATGAAAATTCACAAATTTGCCTCTATCAGTTACCAATAAAAGAACAGTCCTAGAGGCCTATTTCAATTACAATTAAGGTCAAAGCAAATTCAGTGGGGATGTTAAGCTGTTACCCCCCCCTCCCCCCCCCACAACAAAAAAAAATTAGAAAAACCCCAAACAAATGGAAATATAATTTTCTTCAAAGAGCTACATATTATTTGTTTTCACCTACATGATAAATCCCCCCCTTGAATCCTCCCTCTCAACAGAAATCCTGTGTCCTTATAAACATGTCAAAATCATATAACTATCTGTTATTGAATTGATAGTAATTGTGCTTTATATTATAAGGCAATTTTAGGAAATCAAATTTTTCATGTCATATGAATTTGAATTACCCTTTAACTACAAAAAATAACCCTCATAAAATATGGAGATCACTAGAAAAATATTTCTACAGAGTTATCCAATCAAATGTTTACTTTAAAAATTCACAACAAAATGTTTGAATTAATAACTAAATGACTTATTTATCATTTTGCATGAGTTTCTTAATAAAATTTACATCAACCATATAAAGTTTTAAAAATATATACAAATAAAAGGGTCTGGATGGGGTTTACAGAATAGAGAATAATTATCCAACTTATCTGAGGTTTCATAAAGACAAAGACAAAAGGAGCAGAAAAAAAGGAATAAAATAAAAGAAGAATGTGTCTGAGGACATGAATGCCCCCGCTCAAGCTTTGCAACAAAAATGGGACGCACGAACGGAAGACGGACAGCCTAGGGTAACAAAAATAGGGAATAATGGGTCAAAAAGATCAAGAAAAGAGAAAATGGTCTAACCAATTAAAAAATGAAGAATTGAGGGGCCCCATCCACACCCTCAAATAACTGTTGATTGGAATGCATACATAACAGAAAATCAGATTAATACATCAACAAATAATAATCAAGCAAACGATACAAGTTATACAAGTTATGTTTCTTTGTGAAATATCACAACAATTATGAATGATAACAAATATGTAAATTGCCTATGGTTCTGACATTCTGATTGGTTGGTAGGTATATTAAATGAAATACAAATATATGTATTACTGTGGATTCATTTAGTTTTCATGGGTTGATGAACAATTACATTTTGATATTTGATTTGGTTTTGCCAAAGTCTGCATACAAGACTACAGAAAAGGAGTAGGCCCGGTAAGACCCCTTTTTGGCCCCAAAATGTAGCATTTTTACCAATTTGTTAAAATGTAAACTTTTAGCTAATTATTGGAAAGAATACTTCTGTTCCAAAAATATGGGTTGATTTTGACAATACAATGCACATGCATCAGGTAATAGCATCATAAATTCATGCAATATTACTGAAATCTTCACAATTTTAGCATTTGTGTTAATTTTAAGACGATGTTTGTCCAAAATGGAAGTGGCCGCATTTGTGTTCAGTCTTAATATTTAAATATATGTTGTATTTGATGATAATACATAAAGTATATAAAGGTTGAGACTGAACATGAATGCGGTCACTTACATTTTAGACAAAAACCATCTGAAAAGTGACGTTTTATGGCATAATTGATAGATTTTTCATAATGAAGCTTAAATTTGAGCGTCTTTAATGACCAAATCAGTCCAAATTTGTTACATACACTAATTGAATCGACTGAGGTAGACACTTAAGTGTTTAAAAAATGTCAAAAATCTTTCATTAGATGTACTTCGAATAATAGGCCAAAACTAGCCCTTACCGGACCTTTGTACTTTGTTCATCATTTAAATTTGGTGTTTACCTAAACCTACTTAATCCATGAATATTGGTATACCATGAATAACAATGAATCTACAGTATGCAATTATTTCTGACCTTATAAAACTCACAATTAATTTACATGACCATGACAACATTGTCGTTTGTTTGGCCTTTTCTCCTGTTCCGGCTTGTGGTGGCACCTATATTTTTATTTTTTTTGTTCTTTATAAATTTTATTTTCATTTTTTATTTAATTAAGTTCTATTTATTTTTATTCATCAATTTATTCATTTATTTATTTTTTTATCGTTTTTATTGTTCATTTTACTTTTTGTTCTTGTTTTTACAACATTCATGAGATGTTTATGTCACTCAAAATTATATCAATTACCATAAGGTAAAAATAAATTATTCAAATTCCCAAAAAGGCGTAAGCCAGGATCGACCGAGCAAGACCCTCATGGGTAGTCAAGGTCGTTAAAAACGCCCCTGGTTGTCATGCCCATATTAATCTGCACTACTTTTGGTTAATTTGCATATACAGTATACTGTAAATTCAGAAATTATTGCGTGCATTTATTATTGCGATTTTGTCATTTTAGACTAAAATGCGATTTTAATTTTTGCGATATTGAGAAAAATCCTGTTTAATTAATATAAAAAATTTCAAAATGCGAGTTTTAATTATTGCGATTATAACCCTGTCGCATTTTTCGCAATAATAAAAACATCGCAATAATTTCTGAATTTACAGTACACAAATGCATGTGTTATTAACTGGTTTCCATACATGTTTACAAACATATAATTATAAGACTAAAATTAACAAGAAGAATATAAAAATAAGGAGACGTGGTACGAACGCCAATGAGACAACTATCCACCAAAGTTCAGAGTATGTGAGAAAAACCCATACCGTATATGTTTTGATAAATGTGCATACAAATATATGTCAAAATAGAAAACAGTTTTCATACAATAAGAAAAAGTGTGACAACCCTAGATGGCCTATCATAACTGACATTATATTAAATATAGACATACTGCTGGTATAAAATAATGAGATCACACTATAGAGAAATACTAAATTACTGTATACATATTGCAGATACATTTTTTTATCAAGTTTTATATAATTTTTCTACCTGACATCACAACAATATATATTTTTTGTGATTTTTAAAAGTTTCATATAAAGAATAATAAAAGTTTGACATATCTGAGAACATTAATATTCGCCTTAAAAATGTGTACAAAGGACAGTTATGAGAAAAAAAAATGATTGCAAAAATCAGTTGGTCTAAAGAATATTTGTTTTTATCCAATTGAGCTATATATTAGAAAATAAATATCACAATGACATATGTATCATGTAAATTTCACTTAACTAAATGTTGTTTTGTAAAAACAAATTTTACTGCACTTATAAAATTAAAAGACTTCTGTTTTCACGCCTGCAAATTCTTCCAAAACTTTTCACCCTCATTGTAATTCATATGGAACAGATGTATCTCGTTTTTTCTGGACTAAGTACAGGCCTGCCAGTCCACACAAACTACCTGTTAGAAACATACCAATTCCTAGGCCAGCCATGGATCCTGTGAATAAATGAATATAAAACTAGATGTGGTATAATAGAAAAGAAAGGATATGGGGTATCCATCCATGACACAAAATCATTATATGGACAGAAAAAACACAAAAAGTTAAGGAACAACGCTTTTATTGCTGTTCATCTCAAAGTCACATGATTGCCAATGAGACAAAGTCTCCAACATAGATCAAATGACATATAATTTAGCAACTGTACGTCAACGTAAAGACGTCAACAATGTCAGAGCAAAACCCATATAGCATATCACGTTATAACAAGCCCTGACATGACAAATGTTTAACAATTCAAACAAGAAAACCAATGGCCTGTTTAATGTAAATTATGTTTTTTTAAAACTGGTAAGAAATTATCTTTTGGTATTTTTGTCTCTTATATCTGATTGTAGTTCAAAAATGCATATAACATTCAGGGGTGAAAAAAAAAAACAGAATCAAACCCAATTCTGTTTTTATTTTAAATTTTGGGGGTTGATCCATGTTGGAAACCCTTCTACTTTAGATACAGTAAAAGACAAAATCTGATGGCATAAGACTGAAAACTTATTTTATGCTTTAAAGAATGTACAGATGAACTAGACCCATTGGTGGCCTTGAGCTGTTTTCTGCTCTTTGGTTGACACATTCCCCGTTTCCATACTTAAATTTTATCAATAAAATAAAAACATTGGATAAAGCATAAAAATGTCTATGTCCAATTTTAAGAAAGTTCTACTTTAAGCTCTCTTAGCTCCTTTCACAATCAAAAAGCATAAAACCTTGTACAAAACTGTTGACAGTGATTATTAAATAAAAATCATAAAAAAAAGTAATAAAATTTGGACAAAAGAAAACAAAAAATTTAATTTTTCTCAGTTTTTCTTCTTTAGTTACAGAGAGCCATTAACATAATGATGTTTAATTCATGATGTATGCCCAGCAGAAGGTTCACAATAATTTATAAAGAGAATAAAAGTGGTAAAATAATTGAAATTATTTATGTTCAATAGTTGAGTGAGTTGACAAACAATTGGGCTCTTTAAACTTGAGAATGGTATATGTGGACACTTTTTTGTGTTTTAAAATATACCTCAGACAGACCAAACAAAAATAGCATTAAAAAAGCACTGCCTATAAACATGTTGAAAAAGTAAATACTGTATATCAAAATTGGCCTAATTTAAAAAAAAAAACACTGGTTTTTGCCCCGTTTCAGATATTTTTTTTTGTCAAAAATTATTCCAAAATCAATACAGGGATTCCTAAATATCCTTTGTTGACAAAGAATATAAGACAGTGTTTAAAATTTCATACAAACTCATGACACTCATGTTTAACCAGAGGGGTGGGGATTTCCTGTAAAATATATTGTCCTTGACAAAGTGACAAATTTATACCTTAACTGTGACTCTTTTCACAAAAAATGTTACGATTAAAACTGATTGTAAGTTATACTGAAATGTGTATGACTTGAGTGTTTTTACTCTTTAAGATTTTTTGTGAAAAGAGCCGCAGGTCTACAACAAAAGTTTGTGATCATATAAAAAGCATGGATCACTTTTGCTGTTGGGACTATGCTAATCAAAGGATGTATATTAGTTATAAATCCTTGGCTTATCATAGTAATGGTCTAACCCTACCTGTTATTGCTAGAATTAAATACAGAAATAACACATTTTGGATTATCTCCCTTGGAAATACAGCAGTAACAAATCATCATATTTACAAATCAAAACAAAATCCTCAGTATATTAAATGTATTTTAAACTTAATATGCTACTTATCAAAATATCTGACAATATATGTTGCAAAATAATTCAATTTAATGAAAAAATTGAAAATTTTGAATAATTTATTGACCTTCATAAAATTATTCATTTTCTTCATATATAATCTTTTTGATGCACATTTCCAGTGAGAAAAATGCTTCAAAAATCAAGAAGCTCTGATTTGATTTGTGAACACCACTGTCCAACTACTGGACATTACAAATAACTTATATGTATTAATAATCAAAGATGATGACCACAAAATCATAGTAGGAAAAGTATTGGAAAGGATGTTAAGACATATTCTTCAAAAAGAGAAAACAAAAGTAGCATAAAAAGTTGAAATAAAAACCCATTTTGAATCTGAATTGAGAGGGTTACAAACTTTGAGTGAAATAACCATTGTAAGGTAAATTAGTGAGTTAAATAATAAAAATCAAAAACAATATTTAATGTCTATACATTTACCATATATGTAGCTCCATATGTTCTCAGTCTCCTTGACTGAGAAAAAACATTATCAGATGGGTCACTTGAGATGGAAAATTATCACACTAAAAGATCAAAGCAAAATTTAAGAAAATAGCCATAACATTGGAATCATTAGATGATGAGTATCTTATGCTTATTTCTGTAAACCAAACAGCAAAAAGAACCGACAAGAGTAAGTCAGTCCAATTACACATCAATATATTCCTTAACCATAACTTTCAATACAATGATAATAATACAATACCTGCACTGTATCCCTGTTCTGATTTCTTGTCAGATTGTACTGATTTCTGTGTATAAAGTGAAGACACTAGAAAATTCTGTAAAACAAAAAAATAATGTTTATAAGAATAGTTGTTTTTATAATGTTTTTAAAAGACATTTTCGAAAAGTTGTCTACACTGACACTTACACCGACACCAATACCTACACGGACTCAGGGGTTTCATTATTTTTTTAGACTGGAGGTACCTTTGAGATTATAGGGGGAACCAAACCCAAATGGCGAGGGGTCTTGGGGCCGCTTAAGGCTGGTAGGGGGGCCAGGGGGCAAAGCCCCCCGGAAGCTCCTGGATTTTAGGGATTTCAGCCTTAATTCTTTACTTAAAAAAATAGGGTAAAGTCTGTAATATTTGCTTCAATTTTGGGTAAGTTAACATTGAATCGTTTTTTTTCTAGAGTAATCATCTGAAAATACATTACTTATAATTATTTTGTAATCAGTTATAAAATATGTATGACCATGGAAGTATTATATTGTCAATATAATACTTCCATGGTATGACCTATAATGCAGGGGTTTCATGTGAAATGTTGTTTAAATGTTTTGCATTTGTTCAATTTTGTGGCAAATTCATCATAGGATTCTTGACTATAGTAAGTAAAAATGTTTTTTTTCACTTCTTCAGAGCTGTCTTTTTTTTTTATTTTAGAAGTCTTAAATCTCGTCAGATATTATATTTTGTAAACGTAACACTTATGTTAATTCAGATTGTTTCACGAAGTCTTACACTAAATTTTTCAATCACAACATAGAACACATATCGAGAAAACGGAGATCAGTGACAACGTCCAACGGGAAACGAACTGATTTGATGCGATTAACGATTTTTTGAATTTCATAGAATGTTCACCTTTATTTAACCTTTTATTCATAAAATAATCTGTGATACAAGCTGCTTTCCTTTTATTAGACATAGTATTGCTGTTGTTGTTTAAATTCATCAACAATTTGCCGCTTGAAAATATACTGCTAAATCGTCGCATTTTAAAGCGCTCTTACGATACAGATACAGACACATGGTTTATAATTACTTTGGAGGTGTGCCTAAATTGGCAGAAGATAGATCTATACTTTAACGCGGACCTCGACGAAGACACCTATAAACATACACATGAACGGCGTAGAACGGAGATTATCAAGGAAAGAAAGAAATTAGATTTGAACGATCTTCAAAAGAATATTACACATTTTTTTTTTGTATTTTTATTTTTTCTGCCGGTACCAGACGCTTCCGTAGGCGGGTAAAAGTACCGGGTACCGGGTCTTAATGAATGCACTGCGGACTATAAAAATATAGGGACCGTATCAAAATTTCGAAACATACTGATTGAATGACCTCATAAAACTTGGTTGCAGATATAAAAAATAAAGTTTGTATTTTTTCATATATAATTTTTTATTCAGAATCGGAGCTAGAAACCCCGAATGCTTTCATTAGTTTTGGATTATTTTAAGTAAAGAATTTGTGACATTCCAACTACTTTTTTTTTTATCGTCTCCGTTTTCAGCCATTCAAATGGAATACAGTGTTGCGGTAGAATATACAATTGGCAAATTGGATTGCTAGAAAGAATTCGGAACATTAATAAAGTATCTTATTTCTTATTTCTTATGAAGCAGGCTTAGCGGATATATTAAATCAATGTAAGTCAACAGGTCTTGCAAAAAGTAATAAAAAAAACTGTTAAAACAGAGATATGTCTTGCCTTTTTGTACTTTTGATAATGCAAGTGTTGAAATTAAAATAGCAATACTTTAACATGTAAGTTATGCAAATATTCAAAGTCAATGAACCATGACTGAAGGTACATGGCAAAACAATCTCCATGGAAATGAGATGTCCCAATGCTAATACAACTGCATACCAAATACCATAGACTTATCATAAGTCGTTCCCTTTCACAGGGGTTAAGAAATTTTGTTACAGCTCACTAGCCCAGTGCTAATTTGTAGCAGGATTTTACTAGCCCCGTTGGAAGAACTGCTAGCCCATCAAAACTGATATGCTAGCCAGAGTATGCCTTACAAATTCAGAGTTTGCTGCATAATAAAATGAATTCTATAAGCTTAACAATTTTTATCCCTTGTACAGTAGATTTCGGCAAATCGGATACCCAAAACTTATGTCAGCAAAAAAATATCCCATTAGCCGATATATTCAATTAGTCGATAATTGTATATTCATTGAACATGTTGAATATTCTGCAATAATGAGTTGACCAAATCCGGAGATGGTGCAAGTCTTGACCACTGCTATACATGTATATATAAAAGTATTGGAGTGATTTTTATCAGATACATCATCACGTTTGTGTAAAAAAAAATATCAGCTGGTTATATGTAATGCTCATATTTGTTTTCAGTTTTTAAATCCTATATTTATTAAAATAACTCAAATGACCTCAAATATTTATGTGAATAAATATCAACCATCCACTGTTTGTGTCTTTTATATTTGTTTTATAAACGAGGTAATATCCATATTTATATCTTTCACAGGTAAGCTAATTGTGGGCTATAAATAGATTACAAACTGAGTACAGTCTCTAAACTGAAATTGTATTTGTTATATATTTTATTTCTTTAAAAATCAAATTTATTTGAATATCAATGAAGATTATCATGATTGATGAAATATTATTGCATCAAGTTTAAGTTTACTGAAGACTTTTTATGTTTAGGTCATGGTTCTGGAGGCTTCTTCACAGTATGTAAACAAAACAAAAAGGCGTCCATAACATGTGGTCAAATTTATATCTGACAAAAGTCAGGTTTCTCCTGTCAAAAGGGATTCACATTTATATTGCAATAAATTATTCAGAAGGAGGTATAATCAGTTTATATTATATTTCTCTGATTGCATAAGCAATGTACAATACCCCCTGTACTGAGAAATCGATATTGAATTCAACAGAAAGTACGGGATCCACCCCGAGTTATTTGTTCTATTTTAAAATTAAAACATGTACAAAATCAGTTCAAATTCCAGGAATCCCAGATGACGTAGTTGAAACTGATTGGCTAAGATAGAAAATCTATTTTGGAAACGCCATGAATTTTTTGTTACTAGTCCGTCGGGCATATTGGGTTACAAGTTTTGATTGCCCGAGGCCTAAATGATGTAGTCCCGGGCGTCAGGCTAGTGGATTTTTTAACCCCTGCTTTCAACACACCTAAACACAAACATTGACTTGTAAACTATGTAAAAGTTTCAAAGTCAATGAACCATGATGAGGGGGTGGGACTATATAATCTCCATGGAATGAGACTTGCAAATTCCAATAAATTTGCATACCAAAGAACATTGACTTAACATTAGGGGTTCATCTTACACTGATCTAATCACAAACTAATACATGTAAACTAAGCAAAAGTTTCAAAATCAAACAATAGACTATCAATGGTATTTCTAAGTGTGGTGTAGCATACCTTCTTGTCTACAGTAAATAATGTTCCGTCAGTGACTGCATTCTGAAGGTTGTTATAGGCCTCCTCTAAGCTTGGTGTTTTGTCAACGTTACTCCATCTTCCTGCTGTAATATAAATTTATGAGATCATGTATAGGTTTTGGATAATCTGACTCAGTGATTAATTTAGAGGACACCATTGTACGATTTCAATTTTCAACAAAAAGAAACATAAACAGATCATTTGTGAAAATTAAAGCATCATATATTTTCTGAAGGCTTATATAACTTTTTTCAGAAGAGTTTCTAACATTTTAAAATATTTGATGAACATTTCCCTGAATCTTTACCATTTCTTCATCATATCATTGTTGTGGTTTTACCTTTAGAGATTTTCATTGGCAAAAGAATATTTAAAAAGCCTAGGGATCCCATTACCAAGTGCACTGACCATTTTTTTTATTGAGAACAAATTAGCAAAATCTAGAATTTCACACTTCTTTGGTTTTTGTACTGGTTTCATATGATTTTTTTCCTCAACATTTTGAAGCCATTCAAACTTGTTTTTCATATGACTAGTCAGATTAAAAAAAAGAGTTAATCTAGACAACAAAGAGCTAAAAGAAAGGCTAATAACTGTCCCAAGAAACTTATATTTTTTGTATGGCCTAACCTAGCTACCTTATAGGAAATGGTTATAGATTCTGAAAATATATACTGGTTTGGTATTGAATCCTTTTTATAATTATTTGTAAAGTTGACTCTCATTGTCTCGAACTCAATTGACTGGAGATTTCAGAAGAGTCTAATTTCTGTGGTATAAAATTTTGTTCCATATAAATACAGTTAACTCTCTTTGTCTAGAACTTGGTTGACAAGAAGGATACTTGATTTCATAAAGTTTTCCTACTAGCTTGTAAAATAAACGTATTTTCATTTTAATCCACACTTAAGTTTATGGTAAATATACAAAAATTAAACAAATAGTATTGAATCCATATAGTAAAATTCTAGAGTTAAATTCATTTTAAGGATTGTGACATTCTATACAAAGTTAATGAAAATGTGGAACCTACAAAGATTGAATATTTCCTCATATATATACAAACAATATTTACCTGGCATGGGAGATTTATTAAGCAGAATAAAATATACACTGATAGTTTGGTCTATTAAGCCCTTGGTAATCTACAATTAAACAATACCAACAATTCATAAATCAGCACTCTAAAAATTTATCCATCAAAAGAGGGCACAATTTATTAGAATATTGTTGGCAGTGTGTGGGGTTGCATTTTCATACAGTATATAAAATTTAAATAAGAAATCTGTACAGCTGTCGAATTACCAATTATCAAAAAAGGAATTTGTTTGGGTATAAAATATGTAATGATAAATAAATCTTCTAAAGTCAATGACCTTAATATGTCCACCATAGTAGATATTAACAATACTTTTTACATTGCAGCAATTGTTTTTTTGTGTGTTTTTTTCTATATAAAGAGAGACAACTCTGACTTTATACTCTATATAAACTCTATACTTATTTTCTGACTAAAATAAAAATCTAAATTAATATTACAAACTATGGACGTCATGGAATCTATTTATTCTTGTCTTGGACAACCCACCTCTTCCTGATGAAATTTAATTTTTAAACAAGAATGCAAATGTTGTCATGCTAAGTATACCCTGACGCTGTAATTCAAAGTATCACAAGCACACATAAAAATAAAAAAATATCCTCAATCCACGAAAATTGGTACCCATGAAATTAAATGAATCCCTTTTATTGATATTTATACCTACATAAAGATCAGAGATCCTTGTTAGAGATACTTTAGCTGTTTTACTCAGGAACTGGTGGAGATGATTAAGGTACAGTGATTTCTGGGACAAAATGGCTGCTGGATTATCTACAAATAGTCCTGATTGCATTGAAATGTTTTGCATGTATATAAAAAGCTTCAATGATATCATTGAGGCAGGTTTGGTAAGACACAAATATATTAAGACTAAGTTGGTATGCTTAAATTAAAGAAGAAATTCTATGGTTGCAATCACAAATTGCTCAACAATTCGCCATTTAAAAATCTAAAGATCTATTGGCAATTTCATTGTTTGACCCTTAAAATAAAAATAAGGACATCGTTAGCCAATCACAACGTTTTGGTGTAAACAGATTCTAAAACAGCGATTTTTATACAGTCTCCATCAGTAAATCAAAATCAAATAAAAATTTAGTATGGGTCATAAAAAGTATGCGAAAATGCTAAAGCTAAGATTGCAAATTCCTCAAGCAAAGCAGTCCTTAAATTGTTTTGGTTTTCTGTGTAGGCTTTGTTTTTTTATGCTCTTACAAACAATTAAATGTTATATTTTTAGCTTTTCAAATTTTTGGTTTTTAGAATGCCTGATGGAGGTTATTCTATAAATGTGTTGTGCACATGGAAATCATATTTTTTTCTTTCACATAAAACTGATAAGGCTGTCCTACATTTTCTATCATGTGAGCTGCATTGGATAGAAATCAACCTTAGGACAGACTTTTTTTATTATCTGTTTAACGAGATCCGCCGACTCCAATTTCCCAATTTCAGAATAAAAATAAAAGAAGTGCTTTTTACTTTTATTTTTATTTTTCCCGCCAACTGTTATGAAATCCTCAGAACAAAAATAAAATCTGTGCACAATACCTGCTTTCGTCATCGGTAATATTAAATTTTTACCAAGTCGATGAAACAGCAATTTCAAAGTAAAGAAATTAAAGGCATAAACGATTTATGACTTCAAAAAAGAGGTTAAAGCATTGATTTTTTAAGCTGGTGGCATGTTTTTTCATAAAAACAATTTGTTTAAAACCACTTTCGCCGGTACTTGTTACACGAGAGAGTACATCAAATCATTCTAACTTTCGGCTAAATAAGTTATTACTTCATTTGAACTTGATGAAATTAGCCTGAAGTAAATTTGTAATCCATGTATTGCATTAAAAACGTCATATTCCTTTCCAAAAAGCGTATCAAACATCGTTTATTTTTGTAAAGTTTTCTCCGACATTTAAATTATTGGGTATAGTTTTGAAGAACTACTGATCGGAGTCGGGATTTCATCGGAAGCGGACCCGCTATGACCAAAATCCGGATTCTTGCGATAATGACTACGGACGCATGAATGGCACTGATGACAGACAAAAATTGATCCCAAAAGAAAAAATTACGCATTTCACACGCATTAACGTGAGATATTTTTGATGAATGTTTATATTTCCTTTTTAATGCATTGTTTCAATTTATAAGTTAATGTTACTCAACCATGTCTATTACACTATTAACTTAACGGTTAAATGAATATATCTTTTTAATGAAAAATAATTAATTTCATGAACATGATAACAGAGTAGTTTTTTTAATTGTATTGTATATACAGTATATACAGTATATACATGTAACATACACTAAGAGGTTCCTGACTGGTAATATACATATATATAGTGTATATGCAAGGAGGTTGATATATTTGCCTGGTGCATATGCATGGATCTAAATTAGAGGACATACAGAATCAAAAGATATTTTTTATGTTTATATTAATAGAAGGTTAATATACTGGTCTGTTTTCATTTCATTGTTCTTGTATTTTGATAAATTCTTAAAAAAAAAAAAAAAAAAAAAAAAAAAAAAAAAGGTCACTTATAATGGTTTTATTTTTATTTTTAGTGTCGACTGGACCAACTTAGCACTTTTATTTTTTTTTTTATTTCGTCCCCTCGACCCTAATTTTTTACAAATTTTCTCGTTAAACAGATAAAAAAAAAAGTCTGGCCTTATGCAAGTGCATAAAATTGAGAATGGAAATAGGGAATGTGTCAAAGAGACAACAACCCGACCATAGAGCAGACAGCCGAAGGCCACCAAAGGGTCTTCAATGCAGCGAGAAACTCCCACACCCGGAGGCTTCCTTCAGCTGGCCCCTAAACAAATATGTATACTAGTTCAGTGATAATGGACGTCATACATGTATACATGTGCATGTATGAGTCTTTGATTGATTTTGGAACATTCAAATACAAAACTAGAGGCTCTCAATAGCCTGTGTCGCTCACCTGTATTAACTGATGCTTTGGAAATCATGTAAAATAAGGTTAAAATCACAATTAATAGTATTAGATATTAGATATTATAATGATATCTAAGATTATAACAAAAAACTTCAAAATTTCTGTAAAATTACTAACTCAGGGGCAGCAACCCAACAACAGGTTGTCGGATTTGTCTGAAAATTTCAGGGCAGATAAACCTAAATCTGATGAACATTTTTGCCACCTGTCAGATGCTCTAAATGCTTTAGTTTCAGAGATATAAACCAAAAACAGCAATTTTACCCCTATGTTCTATTTTTAACAAAGTCGGCCATGATGGTTGAAAGGCGGACAAATTTTTTAAACTAGATACCCTAATAATGATTATGGCCAAGTATGGTTAACTTTCTTTCAGTAGTTTCAGAGAAGAAGATTTTTGTAAAAGATTACAAAAATTTACGAAAAAATGGTAAAAATTGATTATAAAGGGCAATAACTCCAAAAGGAGTCGACTGACAATTTTGGTCACAACAACTTATTTGTAGATCTTACTTTGCTGAACATTATTGCTGTTTACAGTTTATCTCTATCTATAATAATATTCAAGATAATAACCAAAAACTGCAAAATTTCCTTAAAATCACCAATTCAGGGGCAGCAACCCAACAACAGGTTGTCAGATTTGTCTGATAATTCAGGGCAGATAGATCTTGACCTGATAATCAGTTTTACCCTTTGTCAGATTTACTCTAAAGGCTTTGGTTTCGGAGATACAAGCCAAAATCTACATTTTACCCCTATGTTCTATTTTTAGCCATGGTGGCCATCTTGGTTGGTTGGAGGGGTCATCAGACTAGATACCCTATTGATGATTGTGGCCAAGTTTGATTAAATTTGGCCCAGTGGTTTCAGAGGAGAAGATTTTTGAAAAAAGCTAACGACGACGGACAACGACAACGGGCCAGGTGAGCTAATAAAAGGTAGATTTTGGTCTGTTTTGTAGGGTTCTTTTATTAACTCATATTTAAAACCATTGCAGACTTTACATAAAGATTTTTTCAAACCGAAAAAAAGTCAACAGATGTATTGATATCCATTTGTATAAGGTTGATTTCTATCCAATGCTGCTCATATGTTGACTACACTGTGACATCTTCAAACATACCTGATTTTATTGCTACATGCAACTGTTTAAATGATGAATCACTATTGTAACACTCTCTAATGTCAAATCTTGATGGATCTATCCGGTTTGGTTGGTAGTTATATATGTTGGTAAAACTTTCCACTTTTAACTGAAAAAAAAACAGTACAACATCGACTAAAATACTATTTTTCTCAATCCACGGAAATTTTCAATTTTCACTACAATGTCAACATTTAAATAGATTTTAAAAAGTGTCTGGTCATCATGTGGACATCACTTTTTTTCTTCATCAGGAAAATCATAATTTGGAAAGTTAAAAATATAAACAGTTGAAGATCTTAAAAACTTAAAGACAGATAGATAGATAGATCAGCAGTCTAGGGTCATATTTTCCTGAGATAATTGCAACCTAAGCTTTTATATAATAATATTGATCAATTTTATTAACTGAAAATTTAGACAAACTGTATCATTTAAATTGCCTTCATTTACTTAAGGGGGTCCAAACCAATAAAGGGGCTACTGGCTATACCAAATTAACCCTAACACAAAAACTAACCTAACACTTACATTAGCCCTTGCACTCCAGCCTAAATCTAACCTAAAACCTAATCTACCATTAACCAAAAAGTAAAAAAAAAGCCATTTGAATCATGCCAGTATCAAAACACTCACTATCATACACTATCTGGTGTATATATCCTATTTGTTATCATAGTATTAATGTATGGACTTTTTCATATTGGCCCTGTAACATGCCCGAGGTATTAATAATGGCCAAGGATGGTTGTAATGGCCACCAGGCAATGCCGAGGCCCATTACAACTGTCCGAGGCCATTATTAATACCAAGGGCATGTTACAGGGCCAATATGAAATAGTCTATATATTGATACTTTTATTAACCAACTTCATTCAAGAACAGTCAGAGTCCATAATTAATATTAAGGATATATGTATCAGGGCCATTATGAAAGAAAACATATGTACTTTGATGTTTCTGGTTACAAATTTTATAATTAAATATGTGTTTGTTCATAAAACATGGCATTATTTTTGAGATGGAATTGTTTTTTATGTGTGTGCACTTGTTCTTTGAGTTTCATTTTTGACAGCTTGAAAAGACCATATATCAATTATTCTTTTTGCATTTACTGTTAACCATTGTCTGTTGAGTTTGAATCGCAATGTTGAAGGCCTTGTAGTGAACTCTAAATGTATAATGTTGTATTGGCTTATAAATGTATAATGTTGTATTGGCTTATAAATGTATAATGTTGTATTGGCTTATAAATGTATAATGTTGTATTGGCTTATAAATGTATAATGTTGTATTGGCTTATAAATGTATAATGTTGTATTGGCTTATAAATGTATAATGTTGTATTGGCTTACTGTGCCCATGGACATGATAGAAGATAAGGAATGAAAATACCATTGATTTTTTTTTAATTAACATAAACAAATAAATCAATATAACAATGTGTCACTGAATTGTTATTTTCAAATAATGGAATATTAGTTGATTTTCAACCTTCATAGATTAAAAAAAAGTTGTCACTTATTTAAAGAAATAAACGGCATTTTGATTTAATCGATGTCCCGTTTCATCTGTTCATAATGCATGGCTGTGATTTCGTAATGCACGGGTGTGATTTCGTAATGCATGACTGAGATTTCGTAATGACTGGCTGTAGCAATTTCTCCGTTCATAATGACCAGTTGTCGAAATTTTCCATTTGTAAAGCATGGGCATTTCTATACATATTGTAGTAAGTTGGTTAATAATTCACATGAAAGAAATGGTCTGACAGATAATCTGGCAGCATTGCTTCCTGTCTTTAATGCAGTGTGACTTTGAGAAGAAGAACGGCAATAAAAGCACTGTTTCCTTTGCTCTTGGTTTTATCAAGTGTGTTAATGAAATTTGCAAAATGTATTAATACATACTACTGTAAATTCAGAAATTATAGTGTGCATTTATTATTGCAATTTTGTCATTTCAGACTAAAATGCGATTTTAATTTTTGCGATATTAAGAAAAATCCTGTTTAATTCATTTAAAAATTTCAAAATGTGAGTTTAAATTATTGCGATTATAACCCTGTTGCATTTTTCACAATAATAAAAACATCGCAATAATTTCTAAATTTACAGTATCCTTTCTGTTCCATTTTAGGTAGGAATCTATTTAGTCTCTTTATTATCAATGGTCTTGACGCGATATAGCCTTTTTGTGCTGAGGTGGTGTAATGCAAACACCTTCAATCAATAGTATCAATGGATTTTACTATAGAATTGGTGTTAAATCTGTGTTTTTTTTAACTGGATTTAAAGCAATTGAATTTGAGAAAACTCTCGCAGAAATAAAATAATCGTTAATGTAAACCTTTAAGCCATCCTGTCTTCTGTGGGCATCATTAACAGAGACATAAACCCCTACAGGTACAGGTTCCAATAAAGGGTTAGACTCTCTTGATCTTGGTCCATCCTTCTTTTCCTGAAATAAATCAAGCATACCGTGTATGCAGGTATAGCAAGATTGACATCTACCAAACAATTCCACTCAAATTAGGGCTACTGGTTGTCTTTAACTTTCAGTGAGGTGTGAGTTTTTTAGCCATGACTTCACTGTGACTTTAAAATGTATTCAACTTTACTCTTTACCTCTATATACTTTAAAACTATATTTCTTTTATCAGTTATTTATAATTTTTTTATTCTTTTATCTTTTATAGATATTTTTGTCTTGGGCTTTTTTATAATGGTCCGTAATTATCTCAGGGGGAATGTGTTCAATAAACATATTTTTTCACTTTTTTTTCTGCTATTCTCAGTGTTCAGATTGTTATGAATATAAACTGTTAACACTGAGATATGTCTCGCCTTTTTAACATTTTGATAGTAAAATACAAATGTTGAAATCAAAATAGCAATACTTTAACATTGAAATTATGCAAAACATTTAAAGTCACTGAACCATGTCTGAAGATATAGGGCCAAACGATCTCCACTGAAATGAGACGTTCCAATGCAAATATTACTGCATACCAAATATCATTGACCTACCACTAGTGGTTTCCCATAAACTGACCTAATCACAAACTAATACAGGTAAACTAAGCAAAAGTTTCAAAGCTGCCCGAAACAGTACACCAAAATCTTGCTTTTTGACTGTGTCAAGGTGAGACAATAAATCATTTAACTTAATATTAAGAATTATAACTCATTTTAATGCTCAACAAAAATATAAAATTGAATATTCAAACATAACATTTTTTTTCCTTCCAAATTTTCTGGTTCTTCAAACTTCAACAATTTTTTGTTTAAAGATTTTTTCCTGCTCTTACACCATTTTCTTGTCTTAATCATGTAACTTATGTTGATGGCCAAAAATTATATCCCTACCTACCTACCCAACCCTACAAGGCATGGGTAGACAACATAAAAAAAAGAATGTGTTAAGGGTGGCCCAAAAAAATAACAATACAAACCAGAAGAAAATAGATCTCATGTTTGAAGTTTGTCACATCATCTACTTTGCCCCAGGACTCCACATTCAAATCTCGGTATAATTTCTAAAAAACATAAAATTATCTTATGGTGAAAAATCAGTAATCTGAATACTGTAAATTCAGAAATTATTGCGAGGTTTTTATTAATGTGAATAATGAGATTTGGTGAATATCGCAATGATAAGAACTTGCATTCTGATATCTTATACATATATCTGTATGCAGATTTTCAGGAAATCGCAATAATAAATCTCGCATTTTTGTCCATTCTTCAAAAAATTACAATAATAAATGCACACAATAATTTCTGAATTTACAGCATTCTCCTGTCTTTTTGCTGAAACGAATGTATACTGTTATACTTAATATTAAACTTTGGTCATACATATACAGATATGATCTTTACAATAATCTTATTGCAATGGGAAACCCCCAAAGTCATTATAAATTAGTGTGTTCAACTGCAATCAGTGTTTTATCTTTGAAAAATGTGAATGAGAGTGATAATTCTGATGGAAAAACTTCAAAATTTGTCCTGTCTCAGTCAGATTTCTTCAAACTAGCATGTGAAACCATTGTCTTTAATAATAGGAAAAAGATACTGCAAAAGTTACCTTCCCCTGATAAAGCATGCTGGAATAATTCACATCTAACAGAGCTATTGGGTGTCTCATTTCTGGTGGCAACAGATAGCTTGGTCTTGGGGTGAGATCATTAAAGCTGGCTGTTAACTCTGTAACACTACAGTTACCATATAAACTGTCTATAACATACTGAACTCCTGCAAATATAAAAAACAAAGAGTGCACACGCTGAAATGTCTCACCTGTTTTACTGACCATTGATTTTATATTGAAAGTCTTAAAGATAAAGGTTTTACTACAAGTATCACATAAAGTTAACAATCTTAAAGATCCAGGACAATTAATGAGGTCAAGGCAAGGCTCGACAATAACGCTTGTCCGATTGTCCGGTACCAGAGGAAAAAAAGGTCGGACAAGTAAAAGCTATATCAAGCTTGTCCGACGGGACAAGTTAAATTATTATGCAGAAAATTAATTTAATCCAACTTTGATGAACACAGTAATTATAAACAAAAAAACAAGAAAAGAAGATAAAAACAAGTATTAATTTGACATGTTTACTTGCAATCGGTAATTTAAAACTGGTTCTTGTGTTAGGTACTTTTTAACAGGTAAAAGGCATATTATTATCGGAAACCAGTCTTACTGATCCGAATCAGCGATGCGCTTTGTAGATAAGGTAACTTTACAAGACAGTTCGTCACCAGCTCGGAAACGATTCGGCTCCAAGTTTAATAGACAGTTTGGCACCGTAGGAGACATATATAATAGACATGATTAATAGACAGTTTGGCAACGCAGAAGACAGGAGACATTTTGGGACCAAGACAAATCAGTACCTGTTTTCCTACCTTATTCTGTTGCTTCATAATAAATACCATACCGTAATTTCTTTAACAAAAATATTTTTTAAATAAAAATGAAGAAATTATTTACCATAAAATTCACAAATCATATTTGATCATATATAGAAAAAAAAACAATACTTGCAATACGTTGACCTATAGTTTTTAATTTCTGTGTCATTTGGTCTCTTGCAGAGAGTTGTCTCATTGGCAATCATACCTCATCTTCTTTTTTTTATTGATTGCATTTGAATAAACTTTTTTCAACTCAAAAGACCAGGATACAAATCCAATAAGTGGACATTGACAGGCCTATCAGACGGTGCCTCATGTGTAGAGTCTGATGAGACTTTGGCATTGATGAAAACTAGAACCTAAGTCCTGTGACATGACCAGATTCAGTTGTTCTCGACTCATATTTTTAAATGGTATTTCAAAAGATATAAATCAAATTCTGTTCTATTGTTTTAATTCATTTTGTTCCTTGAATCAACTTAAAATGCAAAAAGGTTATTATTAAGACTTTTGTTGGACAAGTTACAATTTCATTCGGACAAGTAAGTTTTGGTATGTACTTGTCCTACTGGACAAGTTGGAAAAAAAGTTATTGTAGAGGCCTGCAAGGTCATATTAAAACTGTCACACAGACATGTACACCTTACAATTATTCCATACACCAAATATAGTTGACCCATTGCGGTTCATGCTAAAGATATTATCGCAGATAGTAAGTGCAGTCATAGCTGTTGTATTTTATACGGAAATAAAATATGACATTGGAGTGACTAGCAATTGTTGTCAGCCAATCAAAATTAAGATTCTAATGAAACATACATGTTATGTGATTATTTAAACTTGCATGTTAGATTTTAACTTATAAACCGTACTAGTATCGGTATGCAGAATCTTATCTAATATTATATTTGTCTGCTGTCAGATCAACAATTGAAATTATACACGTACAAAACAATGTCTAGCTTCATAGTACTCAATTTCAAAATAATACAAAATTAACAAGATTTTTAAAGGATTTCAATTCTTTTTTTTCAGGGCAAAATCATAGCTCTTATCATAACTTCTCTGTACAGGTTGATACTAGACACAAAAAAGGTATAAGTTTATTCTCACCTAAATTAAAATCCTGTATCAAACTAATGCTGTCATTTCCATATACTTTTCTGAGACCATTGGATGGAACTTTTGATAAATCAAGTCTGGCAATCTGAGATGTAAAATCGTAATCTACCTAAAACAATATTCAAGCATGTTAAAAGTATGCAGTTGTCCTTATACATGAAAGATATCAGTTTTCACATATATAGATTCTACCACTGTATGAGTGAGATACGATATTTAACTGTCCAGAGTGGATATATATATTGTTTTGCACAAGATTCTGTGGTGGAATCTGTTTCTCTAATGATTTTTAAACGATATGCAGACAAACTCAATCCTTCTTTTCGAAAAATCTGCAAAAAGATGTGTTCTTTTTATCTGACGTCATCAGGCATGGTCGCCTTTTTTCATAACGTCACAATAGGAAATTCAGAGGAAAGCAAAGAAAATTTGACTTCATAATCGAATTTTGACCAATGAAGAACTGAGATCAAATGAACCACACGTTGATAAATAAAAATAATCAACAGACCAGGAAAAGGATAAATCGTGTATGAATTAGAGAAAAAAAATTCTTCAATTATACGCAAATTATTTATTTGAAATAGATATATAATAAGCATGAAAACAAAGACAACTATTAAAAGTTAAGTGCTTTCCTCCTTTTTAGATCCTGTGGAGGATTAGAGTGATATACTATAAACATTTGGGTTAGCTTTGACTTTAATCTATTTCAAAAATATGTATATCTTTTTTGTGTCCTTTGAATACCTTGGTGTTGTTGACAGTTCTTGGATAGTCTGTGTCAAATTCATTCCCTACATATCTGGATTCTAAGAAACTTGATATCATATAGGAACTTGTGTCTTTTTGAAAACCCTATGTGAAACTCCAGATAGCTTTTAGGGTTTTCTGTGTTGTTGGTACATGTATCTATAAAATCTACATTTTCATATCTTACAATTTAATAATAAATAGCTTTGGTAAGATCTGAAAATTTTATTTTTAATGCTCATCAACAAAGTTACATGATTACAAACCTGAATATACATAGGATCCTCCAGTTTAGTATCAGGAGTTCTGCTCATTTTCTCCATTCCAAAACTAACTTGATCAGCCATTTTAGGAACTGGTTTCTTGTCCTGAGAACCAGTACAAATAATGCTTGGTGGGATCTGTAAAAATTAAAACATTAAAATATTTCTTAAGTATGTGGCCATGCTTTGTTTATTATTATCTCTCATAGAATACCCAATAAAACAGTCTGTTTTATAAATAGAGAAAGCAGAAATTAACTATGAAGTATTTCACAAGTAAAAACAATCCTTGAAAATTTAAACCTAGTTTACAGGAAGAAATCCTGCTAACAGTAGAGAAAACTATATAAAGAGGTCAATAGAAGTTTTCCGCTATCATTATTCATTTACCAGAAAGCATGATGGCAATAAAAAAGTAACAAAAAATTTGTACCATTTCCTTGTGTTTTTTTATTAGTCCACATGGCCGTAGGCCTCCCCCTCCCTCCAATGTATAACAGCTTTATACTTATGCAATATAAACTGAGGATAATTCTAAGCGTTGTTTCTAAACTTGAAAATAAGAGCTAAAATTAATTAGAAGAAGTTGCATGCACCCACTCATAATACAATGAATCCAAGAACAGGAAGAAGGTGTCTGACAGATCGCTATAGTTCTCAGGGGTGCATACATTTCGACTACTGAACGTGTAGATAGCCTAGTCGCTAAATAGATCTAGAAAGCCTAAAAAATTCATGCTATCTAGAGAATCCAAAATGGTGTCGGATAGGTTAATATTAATGACGTCAATTGGATAGACTAGCTACATAGTATATCATTCAACATAGATAGATATCTAAGACATACTAGCTGCTACGATATTGAATGCAACCCAGGTGTTATAACTCATCACTGCAAAACTGATGACCAAGTTTGAAGTCATTCTGCTCAATAGAACTTAAGAAAACAGTGACAAAATCCTTACATGCAAATATGAAGAAAAAGGTATTTTTTTATATTCATAATGGAATGTCTTGCATATTGAATTGTTTATGGTCAACTGAAATTTAAAAGGTGCACATGTTAAGCATTGTTAACATGAAGTATATGTTCAACCTATCATGTGATATAAACATCAAATAGACAGCAGTCCCACATTGCAAAGGAGTAAAGCCAGTAACATAATAAGCAACCCTGAAAAGGTGTATTTTTTAAACTTCAATTGTTTGATTAAATCTAATGTGTATGTATTGATAAGAGCATTATTTTTGAAAGTATAATACGAAAAATTGTATATCTGCTTCATATTTATAAATATATTAGCCTGTAATAGGAACAGATTTCATTTAATAGAAAAACAAAGGATATGGGGTATCCATCCATGACACAAAATCAGTACATGCACAGCAAAAAAACACACAATAAAATGCTTCGCTGGGGCGCAGCTTGATACGACCGCAGAGGTCGAACCCTGAACAGTTGGGGCAAGTATGGACACAACATTCAAGCTTGATACAGCTCTGAATTTTGATTGTTATTAAATATTTGACACAGCATAGGTTTCTGACACAGAAAGAATGTGGTCTAAGAACTTGAATTTTTTTAATTTACCTATTATGGTCCAATGTCCAAAATCAAAATACATGGTTAGATTCAGCATATCAAAGAACCCCATATATTCAATTTTTGTTAAAATCAAACAAAGTTTAATTTTGGACCCCAACTTGGACAAACTTGAAAACTGGGCCCATAATCAAAAATCTAAACACATGTTTAGATTCAGCATATCAAAGAACCCCAAGAATTCAATTTTTGCTAAAATCAAACTAACTTTAATTTTGGACCCTTTGGACCTTAATGTAGACCAATTTAAAAAACGGGACTTAAAATTAAAAATCTAAATACACGGTTAGATTTGGAATATCAAAGAACCCCAATAATTCAATTTTTGATGAAATCAAACAAAGTTTAATTTTGGACCCTTTTGACCTCAATATGAACCAATTTGATAGCGGGGCCCACAAATAAAAATTCTAAATTCATGGTTAGATTCAGCATATCAAAGAACCCCATATATTCAATTTTTGTTGAAATCAAAAAAAGTTTAATTTTGGACCCCAACTTGGACCAACTTGAAAACTGGGCCCATAATCAAAAATCTAAACACATGTTTAGATTCAGCATATCAAAGAACCCCAAGAATTCAATTTTTGTTAAAATCAAACTAAGTTTAATTTTGGACCCTTTGGACCTCAATGAAGACCAATTTAAAAAACGGGACCCAAATTAAAAATCTAAAAACACGGTTAGATTTGGCATATCAAAGAACCCCAATAATTCAATTTTCGATGAAATCAAACAAAGTTTAATTTTGGACCCTTTTGACCTCAATATGAACCAATTTGATAGCGGGGCCTACAAATAAAAAATCTAAATACATGGTTAGATTCAGCATATCAAAGAACCTCATACATGTATATTCAATTTTTGTTGAAATCAAACAAAGTTTAATTTTGGACCCCAATTTGGACCAACTTGAAAACTGGGCCCATAATCACAAATCTAAATACATGTTTAGATTCAGCATATCAAAGAACCCCATATATTCAATTTTTGTTGAAATCAAACAAAGTTTAAATACTGGACCCTATCTTGGACCAACTTGAAAACTGGGCCCATAATCAAAAATCTAAACACATGTTTAGATTCAGCAAATCAAAGAACCCCAAGAATTCAATTTTTGTTAAAATCAAACTAAGTTTAATTTTGGACCCTTTGGACCTCAATGTAGACCAATTTAAAAAACAGGACCCAAAATTAAAAATTCGTAAGGGTTCCGCGGAACCCAGTGTCTCGCCTACTTTTTCTGTTAATCGCAGGCTCAACAAAAATGAGGAAGTAAATCAATAAAAATATTCCTCTTGATACTATCTTTTGATTGTAAGAAGCTTCTGTCCAAGTTTGGTAAAAATCCAGGATAACTTATGAATCTAATAAATGTTTAAAAACTTTAACTGCAGACTGAATGTAATGTTAACTGGAAGAAAACAAAAATTTCCTTCTAGATACTAGCATTTGATCATAAACAAGCTTCTGTCCAAGTTTGGTACAAATCCAAAATAGTATAAGAAAGTTATTAAAAGTTTTAAAAACTTTAACCACAGAGTGAATGTGTTGTTTCCTGGCAGAAAATCTAAGTCCATTTAAAAGTAAAATACGGAAAAAATGGATTTATTTTTTTACAAAATTTCCTTCTAGATACTAGCTTTTGATCATAAACAAGCTTCTGTTCAAGTTTGGTACAAATCCAAAATAGTATAAGAAAGTTATTAAAATTTTAAAAACTTTAACCACAGAGTGAATGTGTTGTTTCCTCGCAGAAAATCTAAGTCCATTTAAAAGTAAAATAAGGAAAAAATGGATTTTTTTTTTTACAAAATTTACTTCAGGATACTATCTTATGATCATAAACAAGCTTCTGTCCAAGTTTGGTAGAAACCCAGGATAGTTTAAGAAAGTTATTAAAATTTTAAAAACTTTAACCACAGAGTGAATGTAATATTTCCCGGCAGAAAAACTAAGTCCATTTATAAGTAAAATACGGAAAAAATGGAATTTTATTTTTACAAAATTTCCTTCTAGATACTATCTTATGATCATAAACAAGCTTCTGTCCAAGTTTGGTAGAAATCCAGGATAGTTTAAGAAAGTTATTAAAATTTCAAAAACTTTAACCACAGAGTGAATATTTGTGGACGCCGCCGACGACGACGACGCCGACGGAATGTAGGATCGCTATGTCTCGCTTTTTCGACTAAAGTCGAAGGCTCGACAAAAACCTAAATACACGGTTAGATTTGGAATATCAAAGAACCCCAATAATTCAATTTTAGATGAAATCAAACAAAGTTTAATTTTGGACCCTTTTGACCTCAATATGAACCAATTAGATAACGGGGTCCACAAATAAAAAATCTAAATACATGGTTAGATTCAGCATATCAAAGAACCCCATATATTCAATTTTTGTTGAAATCAAACAAAGTTTAATTTTGGACCCCAATTTGGACCAACTTGAAAACTGGGCCAAAAATCAAAATCTAAATACATGTTTAGATTCAGCATATCAAAGAACCTCATATATTCAATTTTTGCTAAAATCAAACAAAGTTTAATTTTGGACCCTTTGGACCTCAATGAAGACCAATTTAAAAAACGGGACCCAAATTAAAAATCTAAAAACACGGTTAGATTTGGCATATCAAAGAACCCCAATAATTCAATTTTCGATGAAATCAAACAAAGTTTAATTTTGGACCCTTTTGACCTCAATATGAACCAATTTGATAGCGGGGCCTACAAATAAAAAATCTAAATACATGGTTAGATTCAGCATATCAAAGAACCTCATATATTCAATTTTTGTTGAAATCAAACAAAGTTTAATTTTGGACCCCAATTTGGACCAACTTGAAAACTGGGCCCATAATCACAAATCTAAATACATGTTTAGATTCAGCATATCAAAGAACCCCATATATTCAATTTTTGTTGAAATCAAACAAAGTTTAAATACTGGACCCTATCTTGGACCAACTTGAAAACTGGGCCCATAATCAAAAATCTAAACACATGTTTAGATTCAGCAAATCAAAGAACCCCAAGAATTCAATTTTTGTTAAAATCAAACTAAGTTTAATTTTGGACCCTTTGGACCTCAATGTAGACCAATTTAAAAAACAGGACCCAAAATTAAAAACCTAAATACACGGTTAGATTTGGAATATCAAAGAACCCCAATAATTCAATTTTAGATGAAATCAAACAAAGTTTAATTTTGGACCCTTTTGACCTCAATATGAACCAATTAGATAACGGGGTCCACAAATAAAAAATCTAAATACATGGTTAGATTCAGCATATCAAAGAACCCCATATATTCAATTTTTGTTGAAATCAAACAAAGTTTAATTTTGGACCCCAATTTGGACCAACTTGAAAACTGGGCCAAAAATCAAAATCTAAATACATGTTTAGATTCAGCATATCAAAGAACCTCATATATTCAATTTTTGCTAAAATCAAACAAAGTTTAATTTTGGACCCTTTGGACATTAATGTAGACCAATTTGAAAACTGGACCCAAAATTAAAAATCTAAATACACTGTTAGATTCGGCATAACAAATAAATAAATGTGATCAAAGATTTTACAAATCTAATGCGCCATACTGTGCAATTAAAGATTACTTCTTGAAATTTTTCAATATTTGAAATTTGAAAAAAAAATAATATTTGAAGAATAATTCTTTTTAATTTCTGAAATCTGAAATGAGAAAAAATTGGCCCCCCACAATTTCTTTTTATCCCCCCCCCCTTTTTCCCCCAAAAAAATTCTTTCCCTCAAGATATGGTCATAATCTCAATTCAAATTTCCAATGGAGTTGGCAACCATAATTACCTATTTAAATTTACCACAGTGCTAACTTAATCTATTTTATAATAGAATTAATAAAAATATAGTGTCAAATCTTTCATATGGATTTTTTTGTAAAAAAAAAAGATGAAAACATTTGCAGATATTTTTACTGGTCTTCCTTTATAAATATGCATTTCTTTAAACATAATTTAAAAGCAGTGTAAGGGAAGTAACCAAAACGTTGTATTTGGATTACCTCCCTTACACTGTTTTAGATTATCTTTATTGTTCATTAACCATTACTTTATACATAATTTAAAAGCAGTGTAAGGGAGATAATTTCAATGATGTATTTGATTTATCTCCCTTACACTGCTTTAAATTATGTTTTGTACTAAAGTATTTGTCCATTAACCAGGACAACCTTGTTTTTCCCCCTTTTTTGCCCCTAATTCCTAAACGGTTTGAGCCATAACCCCCCAAAGCAAATCCTAACCATCCCTTTGTGGTATGGAAACTTGTAGTATAATTTCAGAGAGATCCATACACCGTTCCACAGTTATTGTCTGGAAACTAGAAAATGCTCATTTTTGGCCCCTAATTCCTTAACTGTTGGTACCATAACCCCCAAAATCAATCCCAACCTTCCTTTTGTGGTATTTAACCTTATGGTCAAATTTCAAAAAGATCCATTCACTTAAACGAAAGTTAGAGTGCGAAAACCAATATGTATTCGGACGACGACGCCGGACGACGACGACGACACCGGACGACGACGACGACGACGACGCCAACGTCATACCAATATACGACCACATAATTTTTTTGCGGTCGTATAAAAAGCAAAGGAACAGAGGCCATATTTCTATACATTTGTCACCTTTTTCTTAGATATTGATTTCATAGTTTTGGCAAACTCTGTATACAGGCTTGTAGCAAATTTGTACTTCATTGAACATTTAAATATGTGGTTTACCTTTACCCATCAAATCCATGGACATTTGTCTTCCCATGAATCCATGGACATTGGTCTTCCCATGAAATCCATGGACATTGGTCTTCCCATGAATCCATGGACATTGGTCTTCCCATGAATCCATGGACATTGGTCTTCCCATGAATCCATGGACATTGGTCTTCCTATGAATACATGGACATTGGTCTTCCCATGAATCCATGGACATTGGTCTTCCCATGAAATCCATGGACATTGGTCTTCCCATGAAATCCATGGACATTGGTCTTCCCATGAATCCATGGACATTGGTCTTCCCATGAATCCATGGACATTGGTCTTCCCATGAATCCATGGACATTGGTCTTCCTATGAATCCATGGACATTGGTCTTCCCATGAAATCCATGGACATTGGTCTTCCCATGAAATCCATGGACATTGGTCTTCCCATGAAATCCATGGACATTGGTCTTCCCATGAAATCCATGGACTTTGGTCTTCCCATGAATCCATGGACATTGGTCTTCCCATGAAATCCATGGACATTGGTCTTCCCATGAAATCCATGGACATTGGTCTTCCCATGAATACATGGACATTGGTCTTTCCATGAAGTCCATGGACATTAGTCTTCCCATGAATAATAAGGAATTGAATTAATTTCAATCCATATAAATTATAAACACCAGAAAGGGAAGAAAAAACCTTACGGTTTCACTTCAAATGTGATTTACAAATATATTTTGAATTTGTACAAAGAAAAAATAACTAAAATGACTAGTAAAATTTGAAAAATTTACAGGCTAATCACGGACATGTATTTTGAAAATAAAAAAAAATACTTTCCTGAGAGGAGAAGTATGGTAGTCCACTCACACCAGAAGAAATATCTATATGGACGTATGTGGACCCTATATCTATTTTGAGTTTACAACATATGGGTTATATAGGTAAAAGTAGAGATTCCTGCTTATGTCAAACTGGTATAATCCAACCACAATGTGTGCCTGAGCCTATGAGTTTTAATGTCTCTTTGGTACCTTTGGCCTCTCTTCTACTAAAAAAACAAAGATCTAACCTGGAAAACTGATGGGTCCTTTATTGGTCCAGGTTCAAACTTCACAAACTCATAAACATGGTTGAAATTATGTGTACCATTCAATATGACATTGTTCTGGTCTACATTGGATGCTGCAAAACAATATACAAATATTAATCAAGCAATTAACTGTACAAATAAAGATGTACAAAAACTTGTGGGCATAAAATAAAAATATACAAACTTTTATCAATCAACGTACTATACAAATAAATGTGTACAGAAAAACTTAACATTGGCATATTTAAAAAAAAAAATTTCGTTGTTTACAATTGTTGCTACAAAAATATACATTATTATCCTGTTTAATTAAATGACATTAATATAATCATTTTATAGGATATCAAATATAAAAACAGGCTTGGTTTCCAAAGGGTTGGTAGCATATCTTAAACTCCCCTCTTAATACCAAATATTCAAAATCTAAAAATCTCAATAATTTATTTGCAAACAGATACAATTTAAAGTATGATACAATAAATATATATTCTACCACTGCATTGAGTGTGATACGATATTTCTCTACTGAAGATGGCTAAATTTTTAAAGAATAAATGTGGATAGTGTCCACATGTGGGCACAGATGATGCCCCCGCTTGCATAGCATATAGTTATAAAGGGACATAACTGAAGAACGGTAAAAGTGACGCTACCCAAATTTGAACTTGATCTGAGTTTTGTGGTAATAAGCATTGTGTGTAAGTCTCATAACATTTGGTTGAGGCTAACTTTAGAGAACAGAAACTAAAAATTCAGCAATTTTTCTATTTGTAAACACGCATAACTCTAGAATGTTTGTGTATAAGTTTTATAACATTTGGTTGAGACAAACTAAAGTTAGAGAACTGAAACTAAAAATTCAGCAAATTTTATGTTTATAAAAGGACATAACTCAAGAATGGTAAAAGTGTTCTTGCCAAATTTTGTACTTAAACTGTATTATGTAGTAATAAGCATTGTGTATAAGTTTCATAACATTTGGCTGAGGCAAACTAAAGTTAGAAAACGGAAACAGAAAATTTGTACTTGATCTTAGTTTTGTGGTAATGAATATTGTGTATAGGTTTCATAATGTTTGGTTGGGGCAAACTTAAGTTACAGAATGGAAACTAAAATTTTTGCAATATTTCGATTTATAAAGGGGCATAACTCAATAATGGTTAAAGTGACACTACCCAAATTCAACTTCATCTGTGTTTTATCAGTGGAAGTCAAAATTAAACATTGCATTGTATAAAGCATTGATTGTAGTTGATTCAACTATAATCATGGACAAAGGAAGATAACTCCAATTTTAAAAATAACTTGATATTTAGACGAAAATAAAAAATTTGCAATTTTTCCATTTATAAAGGGGCATAACTCTAGAACAGTTTACGTGACGCCACCAAAATTCAATCTTGATCTGTGTTTTGTGGTAATAAGCATTGTGTTTAAGTTTCATAACATTTGGTTGAGGCAAAATTAAGTTAGAGAACAGAAACTAAAAATTTTGCAATTTTTCCATTTATAAAGGGGCATAACTCTAGAACAGTTAAAGTGACGCCACCAAAATTCCAACTTGATCTGTGTTTTGTGGTAGTAAGCATTGTGTATAAGTTTCATAACATTTGGTTGAGGCAAACTCAAGTTAGAGAATGGAAACCAATTTTGGGACGTACGTACGTACAGACGGACAAGGGTAAAACTTAATGCCCCCACCGCTACGGCGGGGGCATAACTAGATTCACTTAAGGCCAAATATAGCCCTGTATCTGTGTATTTCAACTTATCCTACAATGTCAAAATCATAATAATTTGTTTCTTAAATTGATCATTTTCAAAAGCTATTCTACTACTAAGTTTTAAAACAAATCTCTACATAACAGTACATTCTTGGCTTCAAAGTCATTTTGGAGATAGTGTTAAAGTACAATGATTTTATGCATTTTTTCAGACCTAAAAGCTTGAGGAAAACCTGGCCCACAATCTTTGATCCAAAATAGGTCACTAGACACAACAACATTCTGGATAGGGGTGGAGACCAAAGTAAATGTGCTAAAAACTGTTAAGAATTAATGAAAATTTGACTTAACTGACATTTCAACACAAATAATGCATAATTTAGGGATCATTACTTCGTCATTTAAAATATGATGTGTCAGAAAGAAGTTATTTTGTATTGATAGTAATTTCATAACTATGTTCATGTGAATTTTGTAGTATTTTGGCCAGATTAAAAAAAAGATATCAAAATATTAGGGCCAATTTTAACCCTTTATGAACTTACTCCTTTAATTGCAAAAAAATTTGGTGGTAGAATATGTTTCTCTAATAATTGTTAGACTATATGCAGACAATCTTAGACCTTCTTTCCCAATAATCTATTAAAAGATGTCTTCTTTCTATGTAACGTCGTTATTTTTTTTGTGACGTCACAATAGGAAATTTGAATTTTGACCTATCAAGAACTGAGATCAAACGAACCACACTTTGGTTACCGTAATAAAAATAATCAACGTACAGGTCAGGAAAAGTATAATTCAGCTACAAATCAGAGAAAAGAAAATATACCCTCATATTACCTACCTATACCCTTTATAGCAGCTCTCAAGGGTATTTCTTTTTGGGATCCTTCTAAATCATAGGTCTTCACTGAAAAATAGTAGTCCATGTTAAACGTGGCCCTCAGACTTTCTACGTGTAAACAGGTTGTCCAATGATGGGCAGGGATCCCTCTGATCTGAAGTAAAACAATATTGTATGTTAATAAACAGGGGGAAGATATCAAAAATTGTAAGTCTGAAGAGAGACAGACAAATCTTGGCAAAAACAAATAACAAGGAAAAGACCTATAACAGTCTAGATGAAGAACAGCAATAAAAGAACTGTTCCTTTGCTTTTTGTGTTTTGTGCTGTGCATGTACTGATTTAATGTCATGGATGGATACCCCATATCCTTTATTTTTCTACTACAAAACACTACAGATTGAACAGAACAATCCTGAGGTTATCTCAGATACTCCAGAAGGTAAAGCAGATCCTGCTCCATGTTTTCCCCCCGATGAGTCAGGTGTTAATGTGGTCCTTTTTACATGCGGTCCAATATTTTAAGTTATTCCTATTATCCTTTTACGTATTATGTTGAAAGAGAGTCAAGCAAAGAAAAAACAGGACAACTTCCTTTGATCTCTACTATTTTAATCCTAAACAAGTAATAGTGTGTAAGCTCTTGCCCTAAGAGACACTCCCCCAATTTTTATTTTAGCTAAAAACTATATTGAAACTATTAGTTTCTTTAATTTCAGACCAAAAAGAAGCAAACAAATTTTATTGATTCATTTATTTTTCACAAGTTAAAAAAAAGCAAATAAATACAATGCACAAAATATGTCAAAATTGAATTTTCTGGTATAAGAATATAAGAATGCATTTTGTAGATGAAACCAATTGTTGCTGTTTCTAGGATAATTTATTTTGTGGTTTTGTCATCTGTCCATGCAACTAAAAATGTACATTTCTTTGAGAAATAAAAACTTATGGTTTTTCTCTTCCCGTGAAGTAAATCTTTAACTTTCATTTTCTGACATGTTCTCTTGTTTAATGGTTACAATATTAGATATATATTTGCTTGCTTGAAATTATATTGAAAACAATTCTTTTCTATTTGACCAAACAGAAAAAAACAAAAACTGTCACTTCCTTTATTTTCTATCTATTTTGGCAAGTTAAAAAATAAGGTGACTGTAAAATTTGCTGAATATGTCAAAATTGGGTTATAGTATTAGAATTATATTGCAGGCTATGTTATAGCCACACTATTGCACTAATTTGTAGAAATTTATTGTGGAAGGTTTATCTATTTCATTAGGTACCTGAGTCGTTCCAATGTATGATTCGTTGAACTTTGAACTGAATTTAAATATATCAGCTAGCCCCTTCACATGGCCTCCAGTTGCTGTAGATGTGAAGTTGAATAAGGTAGACTTCATCTGCCTCAGATCCTGGACAACACATTTGCCTGTACCTTAAAAAAACCAAAATTATTTTTGTTTTTTTGCCATATTAATATTATAATAGTACGTATTTCAACATATATATATTACATGTTTTCAACCAACCAATTTCTAATGGAATTTGTCTCTACAAACTCGTGAAATTCAATATACTTTTCTTTTGTTTTATGAAGGTATAAATTGCTTTTATCATCAAACATCAAAATGCACCCTTTTCAATACCATATGTGTGAAGTAAGACTAAAAAGTTAATTGTACTTATATTTCTAAGCAACATAAGCAAGAAACAGAAAAATTTTTGTATTGTTAATATCATTTTAACAATAACAGAGCTGAAAGCTCTGAGGAAAAATGACGCCACTGTCTCTAATATTGTGATATTTTTTATGCAAGTCTTGATTTTCACATACCGTAATAAGTTTAACATTGCAACATGTCTCGGAAGCATATAATTGATATTCGTATATGTGTCTGTTTTTTCAGTACAAATGAATAGGTCAAGACTACCTGAATGATCTACAGTATCCAATTACTACTGGCTGTTTTTTGGTATAAATAAATAGGTCAAGACTACCAGAATGATCTACAATATCCAATGACTACTGGCTGTTCTTTTGTACTAATAAAAAGGTCAAGACTATTTGAATGATGATACCAGGCGACTAGGGCGAAGATGTCGCTTTTCCGTCCGTCACTTCGCTTTGCTCGACCCTCAAAAGCGAAAACTAGTCGCCCTGTGGTTTACAATACTCGCTTTCAGTCGCTTTCGTCATCGGCAATATTCAATTTTTACCAAGTCTATGAAACAGCAATTTTTCAGTAAAAAGTAAAAAATTCAAAGACATAAACAATTTATTTTCTTCAGAAAAGAGGTTAAAGCATTGATTTTAAAGTTGGTTGCATGTTATTTCATAAAAACAATTTTATATCACTTCCAGTACTTGTTAGAGAGCGTACATCAAATCATTCTAATTTTCGGCAAAATAAGTTCGTTACTTCATTAGAACGTTCCGCCATTGAAATATATGTACTAAACTACTGATCGGAACCGGACCAGCTATGACCGAAATCCAGATTCATGCGATAATGACTACTGAAGAATGAATGGCACAGCTGACAGAGGAATATTGATCCCAAAAGGAAAAATTACGCATTCCACGCGCATTAACATACTTTTGGTTAGATCTACTTGATTAATGTATATATTTCCATGTATATGAATTGTTTCAATTTATTAATTAAATTGCTCAACTCTGGGACTACTATACTATATGTCCAAGCTTAACTGTGTTAAGATCTACAATATCCAATGACTACTGGCTGTTCTTTTGTACATATAAATAAAGACTACCTGAATGATCTAAAGTATTCTAAGTAATGTGATTTTTTTCTTGCAATTACATTTTTCTAAATCAAGAATATAGACTACTAGTATCCTTTTCAAACCAAATGATTATGAAGAGCCTGTTGTTAGCAAGCTCTTATACCCCACATACTCATTAAATAAGTTACTAGTGACCTAGTTATTTCTGTTACTTGAAGCAAATTATATTTCTGTATATTTAGACAATAGTATAATATTGTTTTACTAGTTTTATTTCACCTTGAAGATTAGACAAATAGGGATACTCCTTCGATTTTTTATTTCATGTCAGTCAGGTCGCTTTATATGAAACTTGAAACCACTTCTCTGCCATATTGTTATTTTATAACAACTCTGCCCTTGACCATGTTGACCCATGTAATTGATATTCATTCTTTAACCATATATCATAGTCAGTTAGTTTTTTGATTTTGCACTCCCACACCACCTTTCATGTCTTTCAGGTCAAATGTCTGTCTCCATTTAAGTTAATGACATTGAACAATCATGGTATTAAACACAATTTCACTAGTGATAATGCTGTTCTCGTGGGTCACCATATATTCAACTTGGGTAGCATTCCAGTTATTGAAATTTGTGTCAGATTAGAACAATGATCTAGATCTTTAGGAATGGATCTTATAATTTAATATGGAGCCATAGTATGGGACCCCTACACAGTAACAAAAAAAAACAAGCTTGAAAGGATACAATGTCAAGCGGCAAAATCTATCACCAGAGATTACAAGTCAAAAGAGGATGGACGGGATACGTCTCTAAAATGCTTGCTGAACTGGAACTACAGCAAGATCTCCAGACAAGACGAACAAAGCGTTGAAGCCAGAAGTTAATATTTATGTAAAAAGTAGTTGAGGTGCTGATTCCCGCTATTGAACCATACTGTCATTCTATAATATCATTGCGTAAGTATTTCTGTATTGGCCTTGGTATTGGTCCATGTCTTGGGTGTATTGGTCTGAGGCGAAGCGGAAGGCCAATACTGCTGGCTGAGAACCAATAATAAGGCCAATACAGAAATACACGTAAAAGTATCTTTATTAATTAACTACAGTGTTACAATATTTTTTTTATTTCATTTCACAAGAGATAAACATTTTTACCTTGAAGTGGAACTATCCAAATCTCAGTTTCCTTTTATAAGATGCAATATCTAATGATTCGGTGCCGTTTGACTGCTGGCCGAGAACAAATAATAAGGCCAATACAGAAATACACGTAATAGTATCTTTATTAATTAACTACAGTGTTACAATATTTTTTTTATTTCATTTCACAAGAGATAAACATTTTTACCTTGAAGTGGAACTATCCAAATCTCAGTTTCTTTTTATAAGATGCAATATCTAATGATTTGGTGCCATTTGAAGTATCTTCAGCCTTTTCTCATCTGATGAATTTTTCTACCCTTTCCAGTCACTATAAAGTGTTACAACTTTAATTTAGACACAACACATAAATAGTAATTGGAAAGGTACTGCCATTGCATGTGTAATGCAAATATATATTTAAAAAAAAAAATAATGTAAGAGTTGAAATTGATACAACTATCAATAAGCCAATTGACCAAAGAACGAAGATTTGCACAATTACAGAATGCATATGCCTGGTTCGGGTTTAAAAATAAACGACTGTTTAAATACAAAACATGAGAAGCGACAGTAAGGCCAAGTAAATTTAATTAGTAGATTTTCATCCAAATTTTTGAAAAAAATGGGGTGGGTGGGAGGATTTTATTTTTTATTTTTTATTAGATATGAAACGCTCTTGTGACGTGTTCTTCATATATGCAAGTGTAATAATAAGGTTCTATCACGTATATACATGTATAACGAATCAAACATACAAAGAAATGCAAAAACCAAAATTTGAAACAGGAAGTTATTAATGAAACGAAATTATCGACAGTTACCGGTAACGAAAATGAACAAAATCCGGAAATCGTAAATTTTTCAAAATAAAAAAAATTGGGGCGGAACGATTTTCAGAGGGGCGGGCGGGGATGAAAATCTATCAATTAATTTTAATTGGCCTAAACAGTAAAAATCGATTTGTACCATCGACAAGATGAAATTATGAGGTCGTCAAGAAATGAACTTTGTCATAATTTACTCGTTCCCCAAACCTGAAATAATCCCATCGTCTACTTTCAAAATGCTTTTTAAATGAATGGGACCGTCTTTAACCTAAATAAAGGCAACAGTAGTATACCGCTGTTCGAAACTCATAAATCGATAGAGATAAAAACAAATCCGGGTTACAAACTAAAACTGAGGGAAACGCATCAAATATAAGAGGAGAACAACGACACAACAAAAACACAACATTAAAACGTAACACACACAGAAACGAACTATAATATAACAATGGCCATTTTCCTGACTTGGTACAGGACATTTTAAGAAAAAAATGGTGGGTTGAAGTGACCGTTGAACCTAGTTTTGTGGCATGCCAAACCTCCCGCTTTTATGGCAACGTCAAACACAACACCAAAACGACAACATCACATGACAGGACCACAATACAAATAAATGGGAGAACATATAGGACAAAGAAACACACGAATAATAGCTAGCAGAAGGTACTAGGCTTAAAATTCAATATGCCAGACGTGCGTCTCGTCAACACAAGAATAACCAGTGACGCTCAGATAAAAAAGTTTGAAAGCCAAAACAAGTACAAACAAGTACAAATATATGCCATACTGAACGTTTCAGCATGTTTATGGCGAGTAAACCTGCGTCTTACAACTGTTTACTTTCAGTTTGAGTTTATCGTGACTTACGATCTAAAAACTAGAGACGTTCCGAAATCCTGTTTTGTAAACAAAGATTCATACGCACCGCGTGGGTATAACCGTATTACTAATTTCCGATTTGTAAAATCTTCGTAAATCTGGATAAAGACCAGTTTCTATCAAATGGATATCAAAATGATTCCGATTTTCACTTTTTTCAATGAATGTAAAGTTAAAATAGCATGAAAGGCTGACATTATTTAGGAGAACTATTTTGTCTAGCGATTGCTGATCATTGGAGGGTAAAAAGTCCAACACCATAACAAAACAGATCTATTTATCATGTATACATACCGATTGTTTACGATTGTAAGACATGTGCATAAAAGTGAAGGCTCGAATAAATATGAAAAATATAACAAAGGGATAGCTCCAAATACCATTTAATAACAAAAAACATATGGACAGGTCAAGATATCTATTTGGTAAATAAAATAAAGTATGTAAACTGGTTCCCGTCCGACTACAACACTTTGTTCGAGTGTAGCGTAATACAAGCAGATTCCAGTATGTATGTAAAATAGTAAATATGAAACCGAGTGCGTTAGGCGGAGGCAATAATCGACTTCCATAAGTTCTGGTCAATGGTATCAGAAACATGCCGCTGATAGCGTCATTTTCCAAAAACAATACTTTTAATCGTCATCATGGTCACCTCAAGTACCTTTCCCACCTTCATCATCACCTATCCAGTACAGAAACCTAATACACTACACATCATAAGGATTTTATTTCCACCCAGTGGGAATGGGCACAGACTCTGCAAATCTTCTAGATCATGTACTGCATTTCCTCAATAGACAAAATGATAGACATGACAATCATTTCTTTCAGCATAAGAATTTAACATATAATACCTCAGAAAAATGACTTTAGTTTAAACTGTATTAATATTTAAACCATTTTTATATTTTCTAATTTTGCGTTTTTAAATGCTCTACATCTTTTCTCCAACTATTTTAATTTAAGCCTCACTGGTAATTCTTATGTAGAAGAAACATGCACCTGGTTTACAAAATTATAAGCCTGGTATCTTTGATGAGTTTTTGTAGTACCACATACTGGTACCCATATCAATGCTTTTTTGTAGTACCACATACTGGTACCCATATCAATGCTTAATGTTTCACATACCTATATCAATCTGATGAACACTGTATGTTGTGAAATCTGTGATACTTTTCATGGATTGTCCATTCCTAGTTGTTATAATTACTCCTCGGTTTCCAGGGTAATCATAATATTCTTCTTGATAAACAGTGTACCCTTTCTAGAAAAAAAGTCAATATCATTATCAAGGTTATTGAAGACAGTGAAATGCCTGTTCCAAGTCAGGAATATGACAGTTGTTTTCCATTCGTTTGATGTGTTTGAGCTTTTGATTTTGCCATTTGATAAAGGACTTTCTGTTTTGAATTTTCCTTGGAGTTCTGTATTTTTGTTATTTTACTTCATATTTGCCAGACACAACTGATTTTGAAAATAACACATCTGTGATATTTTGATTATTTTTCAGTCAAGATCAACTTTTGCTAACACAGGCCCAACCCTCATTTTAATTTTTTTAGATTCTATTGACTTCTAGACAAAAATCTTAAGTCTTGGCTGGTGGGCCTGTGACAGCATGATGTTTTGGTACATGTATAAAAATACCTGTAAAATATTAGCTTCAATTAAAGCATGGAACAGGTAAGGTAATGCAGGGTGAGGTATCTCTACCACATCAGATGTAGGTTTCTGTTTACAAATAAGGGAGCTACCATTTGATTTTTATGGGGGGACTAGGATGAAAAATTTTGTCCTGCCTATTTATTTTTCCCTCTATTAGGTCCTGCCTTTTTTTTTTTTAGTTTATCCTGACTTTTTTTTTTACATAAATTGTCATCCTGCTTTTTTTTTTTTTGCAAATAATCTCATCCTGCCTTTTTTTTTTACTCAAAAATCCTGTCCTGCCTATATTTTCATCCTAACCCCCCACCCCGTAAAAATCAAATGGTAGCTCCCTAAAAACATAAACTGCTGTGTAAAACCAAATAATGAAAAATTAGTTTAAAATATTTATGGTATAAAAATACCTGTAAAATATTCGCTTCAAATAAAGCATGGAACTGGTTTGGTAATGCAGGTAGAGGTATCCCTACCACATCAGATGTAGGTTTCTGTTTACATAGGCTGTTATCTGGGTCTTTACTGGCAACCTGTGTTGTTAACCAGCCAATCACAAATATCAATATCATTTTTGCAACATCTTCATTCCTAAAAAAAGACAAACTCAGGTTAAAAACAAAAGCACTGTTTCCCTTTTTTCATGAAATCAAAGTTTTCCTATGTGATACACACTCAATCCTAATTTTACTGGTGTCACTATAACCTTTTTCCATGTTTTCTGTTTTTCAATGTTTTTATTTACATGATGTGAATTTGTCTTAAGATTTTATACTGTTGACAAAAGTATTATATATAATGACTTTAAGACTGATTTTGATTGCTTAGTGGCTGAGTTAGGCCAATTAAAATTAATTAATAGATTTTCATCCCCGCCCGCCCCGATTTTTTAAATTTTTTTAAGTTTACAATTTTCGGATTTTGCTCAATTCAGTTACTGGGAACCGCCGCTATTATCTTCCGAAAATACAGATTGATTACTAGTATGGGAAGGGCATGAAAAATTCGGGTTACGAGTAATAGGCGTGTCCAAGAACACAAATCACAGCATGTCACAAATTTCAGTGATTAGAAAACTGTGGACTTTTCTATTGATACAATGAGTTTGTGTCTGGAAATTTGGACTGCGAATGATATTCAAAGCCCAAGAATCGTAGAAAAAAAACATGACCAGTCAGGAGACATTGAAATAAGTGATTTTTAAATCACTTATCTAAAGTAGCAAATTCGAAGTTTTTTCACAAATTGTGATTTTTTAGTTTTACCAAAATTTTAAACACATAGGTTTAGATAATATCTTTTCATAAGTAAAATTGAAAAAAATGAACTTTTTGCTTCTTTTAAGCAGCAAGGTGTATGCCTTTGATGCAATCATTTAGCTGCAAATTCTATTTCGTTGAGGGAAACTTAAGTTAGAGAACTGAAACTAAAAATTTTGCAATTTATCAATTTATAAAGGGGCATAACTCTAGAACAGTTAACATGCTATCATGACTATTTCATTACATACATGTATATATATGCAAAGTGTTTTGACAGAAGTTTGGTTTTGAAAAGGAATATTACTTGTCAATTTATGTCACAAAATGTTAATATGTCATTTTAAGTGTGTATCTGCTGTCAAATAGGAGGACACCAGTATTTTTTTATAACAGAGAAGAGAAAAAACAGTTGAAGAGTACAGCTGGTACATGTATGACAATCACAAAAGCACTGTTTTAAAGTATAAATGACCGTTAACTATTATCCAAAGTACTTCTCAACTACCATGACTACTGGATCTTGTTCTACATCATCATTGGAGTTTTATTTCTTATTGTTATCATGTCATGCATGTAGGAATTAAGCTCAATTACATTCTCATTTTGAAACTGATAGAATAAAATTTATAATTAAGTCTTAATGTACAGCTGGTTAAACTTAAAGAAATTCTTAGAATGGTTAAATCAGGTATTTTGGTTTCCATTTTTACTGCAAGTTTGGTACTTCAAAGGGCTACTCAAGCAGTTTGTATCGTTATAATATATATATTCACCAACTGTAAGTTTGTATCAGCCTGAACTCAGCTTTGGTCCTGCTGTTTTATCAACAGTGATCAACAGCATGTGGTTGAACTTTGAACTTGACTTCACTCACAATACAATGTTGAATGCTAAAAATAGCTGGGATTAATTTTGTCAAATGCACGTGATTTTCTTATGGCGGGAAATATCGTAACAGTTAACACAGGTGACCTTACTGACCGACCGTGGGAAATTCCATTCATGATTTAATTTGATACGTAATGATTGGCAGTATTGTGCGTTAGTTTTGAGGCTCTTGATCGAGATCCATTAATAATTGATTTACCAGAATAGAAAATTTAATCCTTGTAATTATAAACAAAACAAGCTTTAGTCTTCTTTAACTATTTTATTTATTATATTTATTAGTCAACACCCAGATTCCTATTTAAATAATTTATTCGTACACCTCCTTTAAAGTTTGGAAATTATACAATTTAAACTGCCGACATCGATTTACAAAATCTTACTGACTGCACAAGCTTTAGAGAATGGCTAGAAATATGACGCAAAAGTAAAGACGGCTGATCATGAATAGTGCAAAAATTTGATCTTCATGTATTGATTGACACAATTCGTAAAATATGTTTATAAAAAACACGATTATCATTAAAATTTCAAACATGGAAATAGAAAGGCAATATCTTTGTTATAATACAACGAGTGTCAACAAATCTGTTATTTCCATTCTATGTAAATTTATTAACAAACAAAATTTAAAATAATGCTGGGTCATAGAATATTGACGTGCATATGAACAGTTTTTTTTATATAAAAACTAGGAATCGAAAGATGATCACTGCGTTATAAATATTGTAAAAAAAACCAATTGTTTCAAAGAGATTAACGGGAAATATATGTCAAAATAGAAAGCATGGATGATCTGGCTGACCAAATTGTTTTACTTGCGAGAAATGATTGACAGGTATGAATAGACGTAGAGGCTCCGACGGGGAACGTGGTATGAAAGAAAAACAGTTTATTCACAATGCCTATATTCAATTTGTTTATATACTTTATCATGTTTATAAACATGATAAATATGATATGTTGGCCTTATACTTAAAATTGTGTTTCTATTAATAACTTTAAGGAACAGGACGTTAAAAGGGGGAAATATTATAACCATCAACGAAAACTCGTATAATTTATGGGATTGATGTCTCAACATTTTGATTAAAACTTCGATTGAAAACAGTCCTGGTTGTTATAATTTTGAGTAAAATGAAATATTTACGGTTTACAAATACAAATACAAATAGTTTATTGGCACAAACACAATTATTATAATTGGCAACACATTTTTACAGTACATTGTTAAAAATCGTCTTTCTTTCATTTTCAAGTTAAAAAAAAAGTTGATCCCTGGCATATTCATGATATTAAATTTTTATTTTTATTGTAATTTTTTCTTTGAATACAAAACAATATTTAAAATTTATTATCTATCCTCCATAAAATACTAAAATATCTGTACAGGTAAAATTTAATTCTAATCAAGCTGGTACAGATTGATTTACGACCTTCCACTCGATATTGTACAGGTTAATATCACAGCAGGTGTTAATTACACTGAGACAACTGTCCGGCCAGTCTGACATCTAGACGGATTAAGACATCCATAATAATAAGTCTCTACCCGTACTGTATATAGTTAGTTATCTTATTTGGTATTTCCTTGATTATTGCGCATACTAATCCAACCCCCCTCCCCAAAGTATGGCCGAATTGGTAATATGGACTTAACGACTGTCACTGAAAAGAATATGACCGAACTGGTAATATGGACTAAACGACTGTCACTAAAAGGAATATGAACGAACTGTCACTGTGCCGTCTGTGGCCGAAACGTCTTGCAACGGAGCAACTTCGTCAAGATTTAATCCAGGACAACCGTGCGATCCCCTTAAACAATATCGTACACTTTATCATCTTGCAGATACCGGTGGTTCAAACTATTGAACAGCTTTAATATCCTTTCTCTGTTTGTTCTTTAAAGCGGGTCGTGCTTAGAATGTTTACTTTTCTGATTTTCGAACCTGGTACCAAGTGTCACAACAAAGTCATGTGTCGCTTTAAAATGCTGGTTAAAATGGTATGGTTTTAAACACCAAAATGATCTTGATAAAAAAAACTAAAATCCTCATACATAGCTGGTCAAGGACCTAATATTTCGGATCTGATAATATTTTTTGTATTTGTTTTACATTTTGTCATGTCGGGGCCCTGGCAATACGATAGGAGTTTTGCTCATTGATGAACAGGTTGAAATGCCGATTTAATTACTGTTCAGTTCATTACAAATCATTTGTACTGAGGAAAGTAAACACCACATCTGCCACAGACACTCACGGTCAACTGACGGTCGGAAAAAATACCTATATACTTTAGATCATTTAAGTGTTATATTTTTGAAGTATATATTAAATCTTTATTGCAAAATTACACCCATAAGGGTCAAGCAATACAAATATAGTATTTTTTGGCAGAGACAGCTGAGCCCATTTGTGGTACGTATTGATGTGCATTTGTTTAATATTAAATCAATATTTTTTAGTATCTCTTTAATGAAATCAGGTGGGGCTCATAGCTAGGAAACACATTTTGTTACAGATTCCAAGAATTAAGTTATACAGAGGCCACCGTAATAGATTCAATATCATTCTGTTTCCGAAAGAGCTGTCACTGACGGAGAACTGTTAGGGACATATACTGAAAAAAAACAGGTCCGTAAATTACCTGCCCTTTAATGGGAGGCATTTTAGTATTTTTTGGACCCATTTTATGCAGACAAGGATTTTTTTCGGGCCTTTCCCTTTATGCAATGTACCTCCCCATAATCCACCTCTTGTTAAATTTTTGTTATATTTCAACAAATAAGCGCCTGGAATATATAAAAAAAATAGTTATAAACCAGAGTTAGATTACGTGTGCCGGTAAAGTAAGATTTTTTACGCTTTATTCTGCTTTATGACTCTTCACAAGCTATTTTTACTTAGTTTTAAGGAAACAGTTTGCGAACTTAAAATGAAAGGACCCCTGAAGTTGAACATTTTTTTGTAGTTTATCCGTTTTTTTTGGCTGTCCCAATCGAGCTGTTTTGACTTCGTTTCAGAGACACAATTTTCAAACCTTAAAATGAAAATGCATACTTAATAACTCATAACGTTAATTATCAAATTCAAATTATTATAACATAACACTGTTTGTAGCGTAAAATCAGGACCAGTTTCAACCTCGCATTTTGTTCCTCAGACTAATATGGCGAGACAGCAGGATATGCAATATGCCCGAGAATGTGCCACAGGAAAATCCCGTGCTACAAAATTGTCGGGAAAATTTTATGTGTGCAAGGAGTTGGATACCGACCGTTCAGATCTAAATATCGAACACACCCTGCCATTATGATTGATCATCTTGTTGTTTAAACCAACAACATGTGCTATCAAAATAATGCATGATTTTAACCAATTTTTTTTCTTTTCAGTGTTTTTTTCTTAATTTTTTTTGTCAGCCCGCAATAGGAGGCATTGCAACTGCCTATATGCCTCTATGTTATTTACGGCCCTGAAAAAATATATTGTACGCCCTACGTACAATATAATCAGTATATTGTGATGTCTTTTTACTGCTTTAATTATTTTTATTCTGCATACGAATTTTATTGAAAATTTCAACTTTACTGATGATGATGGATGGCTACTTAACGTCCAGTGGCAAAGTAATATGAATATTCAGGACGAGACTGTGTCATGTTAATGTAATATGAATATCTACCCTGCTTTGTTCTAGACCGACATGCTGAGTCGGATTTTTAACGTGCTAGTCCACAAGGTAACAGTCCACAGGAAGACATGTCACCGCGCTTAACCAAGACACATTATTCTAACTCCAAGCCGACCAGTCTTTGCTCTCTAAGGGAGCTACCATTTGATTTTTATGGGGGGGGGGGGGGGGGGCTAGGGTGAAACTTGTAATTTTGTCCTGCCTATTTATTTTCCCCTCTATTCGGTCCTGCCTTTTTATTTTTCAATCTATTCGGTCCTGCCTTTTTTTTTAGTTTATCCTGACTTTTTTTTACATAAATTGTCATCCTGCCTTTTTTTTGCAAATAATCTCATCCTGCCTTTTTTTTACTCAAAAATCCTGTCCTGCCTATTTTTTCCAAATTTCATCCTAGCCCCCCCCCCCCCCCCCCCCCCCCCTCTATAAAAATCAAATGGTAGCTCCCAAATTCTTAATGGAGATATACGCGAAGCAGCAAATACCAATTTTAAAGTCTTTGGTTCGACCCGACAGGGGTTCGAACCCACGACCTCCCGCACTCGAATCGAACACGCTACCACGAGACCACCGAGGCGGTAAAATGTGTAACAGAGATGACTCAAAATGAACTATATCACTGTGCAAGAACGGAATACCAAAGTGAAAATATAAATGAAATTATATTATGCTGATTTAAAGACGTTTTTTTCCAACTTACCATATATTTTATAGAAAACTTTGCCATTCTTATGGAGGAATTAAACCTTATAACTGAACTTGTAAAAAGAATAGACTTATTATAGAAATATTTTGTACTGGGTCTCAATTAGACCAGTGGAGATTTATTTGCTCCACACTCTTTGACTGTGAATTTACTTGGAGGAGCTGAAATAGCTCCGCACTTATTTACTAATTACTTTAATTAACTAAATTTATGTTTTGGTTTCATTGTTCACATGTAAATTTATGTGGAATATTTAAATAAAGTATGTGAGCATCTGTATTTGGTCTCATTTGCCAGAGCTCAGTCCCAGTGGAACGAACCTTTGTCCGACGTTTAATCGACACGAGGGAACGGTGACGCATGGCCATCCGACCCTCCTGTTACAAATGTAACGCATTTTGACATATTAAGTCATACAAAATTAATGCAGCTTTGCAACCTTTCAAAAATATGAAATGAAGTCAGTTGTACGATGATCTGGAGTGGGTGTACAGAACAGAGAATAATGCCCCCGCCCCCCCCCCCCCTCCAAAAAAAAAAAATCAGAAAAGAGGAAAAAAGGCATTACAATTTCAAAATAAAATAAAAGTAATAAGGTGATTAATTATTAAGAATAGATAATAATGTGCCAAAAAAGAAAAGAACATAGAAAAACGGTTTACAAAATTTATTAAGAATAGAGACATACAATACAAATATTGTATTTGACTCTATATATACAGTTGTATCCTAATGTGATTTGATTCCCCTGAGTGGATTTTGTATTGATGACAGATGAATATACTTGAGGAGATTCGGAAATGACTGTTATGGACATGTGTTTATCGTTGAGCGTCTTAGTCTCAAGTTCCATTGTTTTATTTGTGTGTTGTTTGATTACTGTCTCATTGACGTATTTTCCCACATGTTATCAATATTTTAACTTTCAATAAACCGGAATTTTCCGAAACCAAAATTTCTAAAATTTACAAACGGTAGAGAGGTGAAAGAGGGATATTTAAATTCAAAAGTCAGCGACAAACAGACAACACCATGACAAAAAACGAAAATCGACCAAAAGAAAAACAAAAATATATAAAACACAAAATTCGAACCCACCGAAAACCGGGAGTGATTTCAGGTGCTACGGAAGGGTAAGACAAATGTTTTCATATGGCCAATTGTTTAAAATTAAAAACCCTACCACATCTTACACGACTCCAAAATACCATTAAAATTTTTATTCCTCCAAAAAGTTGCAAATGTGAACAATCAAACTAACGTACCACAGCTACAATGAGAATCTGGTTTTTGGAGTTCCTCATTTCTGTATTCTTTAATTTTTTATGCCATTTTTTCTCTATTCTATATATTTTTTTCCTTGTTCATCTCTATTGTTTTATATGACCCCGTTATTCTCTATTCTTCATTTTTTTAACCTATTTTTCTCAATTCTTCATTTTTAACCTATTTTTTCTATTCTTTATATATTTTTTGTCCTTTATTCTGCACATTTTGCCCATTATTCTCTATTCCCTAAACCCCATCCACACCCTCTAATATGCCAGGAAATGCTGACGTTTGTTGATCACCATTCATTTGTAACCAAAACTGTTCAATTGTGGAAAATGTGATAAATACAGCAACAACAATTTGCTGTCGAAACGCTTCCCGCTATCTATACTTAAGAAATAATTCTTTCATGCCATGCTTTATGCTCATTTTAACATGGGTAGGCATTATATTTGTCAATATCTTTATACCGAGCGTTAGCGAGGTGTAAAATATTGACAAATATAAAGCCTACCCATGTTAAAATTAGCATAAAGCATGGCATGATAGAATTATTTCGATTCTGATAGGAATATTTAGATCTTTTGTACTTCGAAGCGGACCTATAATACACATTCAAAAGGCAGCCATGTTGATTTGATGAACCAAAAAACGTTATAGAAAATCAACAGTTGAACGATAAAAAAATTACCTTATATAACTTACTTTTAGAATGATTTTATTTAATTTACTAGCGAGCAACACCAACAAAACTGTCCATTTCTACCTCCGGCGTTGTTCAAACTACAACTGACGTTGCAATTTCAATTGTGACGTCAATCACGTGCAGCCCATGTTTTATTGTCTTTGTTTTCAAAGCGAAAGAAGGACGTCATTAGAATAGTCAACAAAAGTAACGATACACAAGTTTGAACTCCAATTTATCATAAAATATTATAAATAGGAAAAACTGTTAAATTATCCAATGAAAAACATTCATTTGCAAAGCAAATGCAAATGCATATGATTAAAAGAATCTGACCGATCGGAAAGTGAGAAAATACCGTGTTATTGAACACAGGAGTCAAATTTATTTTGCGGAAAATGATGACAAAAGTCGGCACTTAATTTCGAAGATTAGAATTAAGTATTCAAATATCTGCAAAGGCATTCAAAATTTTAAGCAGACCATGTTTACGTTTAAAGTTTTATGTTCTAATATCGATTTTTGAAATTTTGGGTGAAAATACGATTTTTGAAATAACAAAAATTGCCCCAAAAAAATTCGCGTAAGTATTTGCCTTAAGGTAGATGGGGTGTC